CAAGCACCAAATTATTTTGGTGAGGACATTACAGACATCTTTCTCTTAGCCACTGCACAACATAAACATTAGTATTTTCAAAAAGTTCCGAGTGATAAAAATCCTGTGCCGGATGAATAAATGAAAACAAAACAGAAGCAAATAAAAATGATACATACAGTATGAATACATTAAAACACACACTGGCAAAATCAGAGAGATTTCAACTGAATCAAACAAACGTATGTGAACGTGCTTAAAAGTTCATATCCAGAAAGACACCCAATAGGAAATGTCTCCCTTTAGAAAACTGCAACAAAAGTGAAAAACCTCCCTCAGAAATTTAAAACAGAAACCATGTTTCCCATCTTAAATTAGTGAAAGTGTCATTGTACTTAAATAAGAAAGCATGCAGTTGAGGAACAGATAGGTCCGGTTTTATAACAACATCATTTGAGCTGCTGAACTGCTCTTGCAGGGTTGCATATAATGGCCAGCTCATCGGCATCCACTGCAAGTTCCCGAAAAAAATAGTAATAAAACGAGTCATAATTAACCCTCTCCTCCGAACGTCCTTCATATGCAACAACATCTACATCTATGCTTATATCATACATGTATTGTTAAGGTTATAGGTAAGAATTGCATTGTAATATTTTGGAAATTGCACTCTCGATGTGTTACCCTACATTGCAAAATAACCAGGGAATGGCCTAAAAAGTGAAGAAAGCCGGTGGAAGCACAACAATCAGACAGCATTCCTCGAGTTAGCAGGTAAGCTAGTAAAGTTGCCCCTCGATGATGATCCGAACCCACCATTTGTGGTTTGATTTAATAGTTCAAATCAGCACAAAAGAGCAACCTCCTTCTGAAAACACTGAGCAAGACGATGGCGATAAAGATGGATTATTAATATAACCCTTTAATAATATCAAAATAATTACAAACAAATAATGCCATTATATATTTGTTAATCTATTGCACAACTTTTTCCCCTTTTAGAGAAGAAAATGCTTTTTCTGAATTATCTGAAATGAGTTTTTCTTCCTTTTTAGTGGCATCTCTCCCATTCTCCAAACAAACTGCTAACAAGAGACTGGTGGTTGGATGAATTTGGTAAACGTTTGAATTTCCAACTAGAGAAGCACCTTTTGGTTTCAAACTCACTTTTTTTTATGTGGCCCTGAACTCATCAGCGCTGTTTCGCCATCTAAAAGCGCAGCTGCGTCCTTTAAAAGCAAGTGGTCAGCAAATTATCCAGACATTCACGGGCCTGTCTGCTCCACGCACACACACACATACATACATACACACATACATACACACCCTGGACCTACAGCACACAACACTTCTTAATAACAGAGACATCGGTTTATCTACACATTTACAACTGAGACGCATCAGATTTTGTACAATAAAAGAATTCGTGGACCTACGTTTCTTAGGTAGCTCATTTTATTTGCCTTAAAGGAACAGTTCAGCCCAAATGTAAATTTCTGTCATTATTTCCTCACCCTCATGTCATCTCAAACTCGCATGCTATTTTTAGTGTTGGGTAATAACTGATTACATGTAATCTGGATTATGTAATCAGATTTTAAATAATGTAGTGCATGCATACAAACTATTATTAAAAAAAAAAAAAAAAAAAAATAGCATTAATTTCTTGATTCACCCTAATTTTTATTTATCCTCTTTTTAATTTTCCTTGCTGTTTTTTCATATAATTCTGATTGAATATTTAAAAATCCGCACATTTTAGAAGCTTTCATTCTTAATACTGACACAATTGTGCAAAAAAGAGAGAATTATTAACTTGCTGCCAATACTAAATGACAACAAAAAAGTCATAACCTTAGGTAAACACTCCACTTTTTCAAAAATAGGCTCATTTTACAACAGTTAAACAGTCGAATTTTAACATTTTGATCACATTTAGCTGAACTAGGAGTTCAGCGGGGGCTCCATCTCACTCCAAAAAAAGGTTTAGATAATGGAAAATTATGTAAACCTTTTTTTTTATTGACATGCTAATGGTCTAATCAGATTCATTGATTTATGCTAAGCTAAGCTAAACCTCTGCTAAGCTTCTCCCGCTAAACCTGTAGAAGAGCCCTCTTTTGTAGTTACATTGTGTACCAATACTGGCAAAATAAAACGTTGCTATTTTCTAATTGCTTAGTATTGGGGACTACTTGCAGGCGCTGCATAATAACCATGGTAAAGCTGTAAATTTCCTTGATCATTCGGCCAGAATAAGAGTATAGTTCCTGGCTAGGGATGGGTATCGTTAAGGTTAACGATATTACTACTTTTATCGATACCACTTTTCGGTTTGGTACTTTAATGGTTCTCTCATCGGTACTTTTTTTCATGAAAAAACAAAAACAAATTGAACAGAATTAACAATATTTTATTTTAATATTACGCTTTTAATGTAAAATAAAACAAAATCAATGATTATAAAACAAATAAATACAAATTTTCCTGTAAAAGACTCAATTTTTAGCCATTCTTATGGAGAAAAATCTACTTGTTTGACTTTTCTGGCAGAAGTCAGAATCTTTCTTGGTTTATTGTCCTCCCTGCAGCTGAAAATACCCTTTTAGAGTTGCAAAATGCAGTTAAATAATCAGATAATGTTTAGGATTTTTTATTCACATGTTTACATAAATGAGTTAATGGTGTTTTGGGAGTTAACAATGTAAAAATAAGCTGTTAAAATTTCTTAATAAGCATAGTTTATTATTAGGCTATTCATAGGCAATATTTGTAAATACACTCATGTAAAAGCATTTTTAGAGATTAAGATTTATTTAGTCTACTGCACAAAAAATACTATTTTATTAATGTTATATTACTTTAGAGAGACCTTATGTGATTAACTGCTAGCCTAACGATGTGGATGATGTATCTTTAGCTAGGTAGTCGAAAACTTTTCATTTGTCTTTCTGCAGTCAATGTACTTTTGAAAGATGCGTAGCCAGACTGCTTGCGTATCCGCTTATGCAAGAAAACAACTTGTTGCCTTTGTTGCATCGGGCATTGACGCTGTTCATTTGAGAAATAAACCTGTTTGGTTTTCTCCGCCACTCCGCAAGCTCACTAACTGTGTATGCACAAGTCTGTGTTAAGCCTATCATTAATATTTTTATAAAACTGTAAAACTGTCAGAGAGATGGACAAAAGCAAGTGATGCATCAAAGTTTGATTAAAAAAAAAACTGAATGGTTTTAAAAATTCTTAAAAAATAAAAATACAAATAAAATAATTAGTTAAAAAATATTGAATGATATTAATGAAATGACGTAGTTCCCGAAACTTTCTACTTCTGTTTATATGTCTAACTCTATGGTCAGTTTGGGCCCTGTCGTTTTAAAGAATATCACCCCATCCCTATTCCTAGCCATATTAGCCTAGAAAATATGAACATTTCAATTTCTGTCAATCATAGTACACAATGTAGAACAGAAGAGTCATGCTTTAAATTGAAGAATTATTGAATTATTATTAAAAAATCTTTTTTTCATTCTTTTTTTTTTTGAGCGAGATGCTATTGGTCTAATCATATTTAATGACTTATGCAAAGCTAAGCTAAAAGTGCTGACACCAGACCATGAGACTCAACTATAAGGAGTTGTAAAATAAGCACTTTCCAAATTAAGTGGATGTTTGTTAACATTTAAACTCAGAAGAGTGAGATTTTACTTCTTTAACTTGACCTACATCTTAAAAAAACTTTATCATGTGACAGAAAAAGAACCAGAAAGTTATAATTACTTCAAAAATAGTTTTGAATGGACCAAGAAGGGCCAAGCCCGAGCACTCACTCTGGACCCCCGGGCTCTGCGCTTGTTCGGAAAATTCCAAAATTTAACCAAGACTATCGATTACAATTGGCTTAGGATTGGCAATAAAATTCGGGAAATTGCAACCCTGCAGAACCTGGGAAGTTTTTTAAAAAACAAAACAAAAAAAATAGCTTTGAATATGAAGACAAATAAGATTTTAAAGCTAATCCCTTTGATTTAATTTCAGTTTATGCACAAAACTATTATAAGAACTTTGGAAAAGAGCACATTTAGTATCAGTTGTTTAAAATTAGATTTTGAAGCTTCATAAATGATCACTGCAAGTAATGCTTTATGATTAAAACAACAGGAGTCAAGCGACATGAAGGCGAGTCATTAAAACATCTCCAGTGAACTTTAACTTCACAAATCTCACAATTTCTGACCTAAATCTTTCACAGCGAGTGCATAAGGCGCAAAAAAGTCCAGAATCGGCAAATGTGCAAGTATTACTGCATATCCCAATGAACCCTTACGCTTTCAGACAAGACGCCACTATAGGGAACTTAAAGCTCTGATGCTTGCAGATTCTTCTTGCACTAATAAGACAGCACTAAAAGACTGATTTGCTTGATACTGTAGTGTCATTCCTGAATGACGGTTTTATTACTGATCTGGCAATGATGTTTAGCTTCACAACCACTACCTTCCCTGTGACTTGACCTGCATCCTCCAACAAGGTAAACTGCTACAAAATCCCAAGTATGCCTTTCTCAACTTCAGCCGTTCGATGCTAAGTAAACAGCACAAAGAGCCAGAGCTTACAAAATGCATACTGTAAACACACACATACACATTCGTCTTCAAACACTAACCAATAATAATAATAATAAAAAAAGAATTAAAAGTAATTCAGAACAATGAATTGTAGAGGTCTGTTTGCATCTGCACTTACCACAACATATAAAGTTGCCACATATTTTGCATCCCAAAAGCGAACACGTATCTACATTTGATCATCGCACACCTATAGGCTACGTTGTTAGAAAGTGCTACGACTTTTTAAACCACCGCATGCTGTTTTACGTTGTTCGGTGACCATCCTTCCCTCGCAAAACCGAAACTCGTGAACAGTCACCAATCTGATGAGATTTGCAAAATAAAACAGGCATGCATAAAAACCTGCGTGTGTCAATGGCGGCGAGTTATTGCACTTTCTTTTTGTTTTTTTAATATTCGTAAACCTTTTTTGAAATGTTCGCTACGCCGCTGCAGAAATACACCAGCCTCCACATTCATCTCCCGGGCCACAAAGCACGATGGCCCTGTAATACCCATGTTAATCGAAGCTTAGAGCTTACTCGTTTGCTTAAGTGTGTATATATTTACACATTTATATCTCGACTAAATCGTATATGAGTCGCAATGACTAAGAGAATCACTCAGCAGCGACTCCGTCTGGTTGAGATGGAAAGTACTTGAAGGTAGATGAGTAGAAAAACGATACATCGAAAACGAAAGAAAGGTTTGGTTTTAAGCTTCAGCAGCCGCATATGTACTTGAGTCGCAATCCCTCGGCGCTGTGCTCAAAGGAATCGTCTATACACATAAGTAAGATTTCCGATTGTTTCAAATACAATGCATACTGAATGGTATGGGGGGGGGGCCTCAGCCTGGCTGTTGGAGCCCCCTAATAAATAAATGGATTCTTCAAATGACACACTTATAAAGGCTCAAAAAGAAAACATTAAAATCGACGGGTGAAAATCAAATGAAGTGCTCACATATTTAGATAAAAAGGATTAAATAGAAAAGAATGCATCCAAAAGTGCTGCGGCTCGAATTGACGACGCTGCGTCAAGAACCTATAGCACGCTAATACCACCATCTTGTTCCTCGTTCCCCCGCACCACATCTCTCATACTATGGTCTCATCTGCTGTCTTTTTCAGCAGCTTTGTGGAAAGCAAGGAATGCTGGGTTGAGTGCGCACCCTTGGTGTCGGGAATGAGCAAACGGACTTTCTGATTGGTTCGTCTCCATTCCGAGTACAACTGACAGTGGTAGCGGAATGAGACCTGCAAAACAAGGAGAATATATTTGTACATTTTTGGTTTTAAGATCAGATTGCTGGATGAAATTATCATGCTGGAATTCTGGGTGACATTTGACGCTAAAATTAGAAGTATACTATAAAAAACAAAATTAGGAACACTCCACTTTCCAGATCTCAATAAAGATAATTTAATCTAGTCCAGTGGCATTAAAATATTTACATTTATTTGCAATTTTTGTGTTTATTAAAATTTATTTGCATTTTAGTAATGAGAATGAAATATTTTTGCATTGCGGTAATGAAAAATACTGAATACTAAAGACAAGATTTGTGGCAAATGAAAACAAAATATCATCGTTATATTCATGACAGCAGGACATTTTTTGCATTACAGTAATGAGAGTTATATCTTAACTGCAATATGGTAAGAAGTGTGATGTTTTTTCATTACAGTAAAAAGAACAAAAAATGTTTGCATTATAGTAGAACAAGACGTTTTGCATTTCTGTAATGATAACAATTTTTTTGCAGGATTGCAATGAGAACCAAATATTTTGCAATACGGTAATGAAAATGTGTTTATATATTTGCATTCGGATAATGAGAATGCAATTTGTTTGTTGCGTTAAAGTAATGCAAATAAAGAAATAAGAGTTTGTAAAGATGCGTGTCAATTACCACAACAACAAAAAGTACTATTTTTAATTTTGCTTCTGATTTTGGGTGAAATTGGGAAATTTATTTTCATTTCAGTAATGACAGTAAGGCATTTTGGCATTGCGGTAATGAGGAGAAGATTTGTCTTCAATTGCAGAAATGAAAGCAAAATTTAATAGTTTTATATTCATGAGAACAGAATATTTTTGCAATACTAATTAGAATCATATCTTTATTCTATTATGTAAGTGCAGTATTTTTTCATTATAGTAAAAAGAACAAAAACAATTGCATTATGATAGAAAAAGACATTTTGCACTTAAATAATGATAACTTTTTTCCAGGATTATAATGAGAACAAGATATTTTGCACAACGGTAATGAAAATGTGTCTATTTTTGCACTCTGGTAGTGAGAAGTAATATGGGGGAAAAGAGTTTGTAAAAACATGTGTCAATTACCACAATAACAAAAAGTACTATTTTAAATTTTCCTTCTGATTTCGGGTAAAATTGGGGAATTTATTTACATTTCAGTAATGACAATAATATTATTTGGCATTGCGGTAATGATGAGATTTGTCTTAAATTGCAGTCATGAAGACACAATTTAATTGATTTATAGTAATGAGAACAGGATATTTTTGCATTACAGTAATGAGAGTTATATCTTTATTGCATTACGGTAAGGAGTGCAGTATTTTTCATTACTGTAAAGAGAACAAAAATGTTTGCATTATAGTTGAACAAGACGTGTTGCACTTCAGTAATGATAACATGATCTTTCACTTCAGTAATGATAACATGATTATTATTATTTTTTTTGCAGGATTGTAATGAGAGCCAGGTATTTTGCATTACAGTAATGAAAATGTGTTTTTATTTTTCCATTCTGGTAATGAGAAAGCAAAAACAAAAAAGGAATTTGTAAAAATATATGTAAATTTTTAAAATAAGAAAAGGCACTATTTTTAATTTTCCTTCTGATTTGGGTGAATTTGGGGAATTTATTTGCATTTCAGTAATGACAATGAGACATTTTTCCATAGCGGTAATGAGAAGAAGATTTGTCTTGAATTGCAACAATGAAAATTAAATTTCATTGATTTATATTAATGAGAACAGGATTTTTTTGCATTATGGTAATGAATGCAGTATTTTTTATTACAGTAAAAAATTGCATTATGATAGAACTAGACGTTTTGCACTAATCACTAATATTGTGATTTTTTTTTCCTGGGATGTAATGAGAACAAGATATTTTGTACTATGATAATGAAAGTGTGTGGTTTTTTTTTTTGCATTCTGGCAATGAAAATATTATTAGTTTTTTTGCAAAAATGTTTCCAAATGTTTGCAAAAATGTGTCAATTACCACAATAACAAAAAGTACAATAAAAAAAAAATCCCTTCTGATTTTGGGTGAAAATGGAGCTTAAAATGAATCTGTTTTAGAATAAAACCACAGATCTGCAATACACTACCAGAGTCCAGAGGACGTAGATGGTGAAGAGTGCGATGGTCAGAGCGATGAGTCCAACCGCTTCCAGACGACTGTTGAAGTGCAGGTGGTCTTGTGCACCCCGTAGACACAGCCAGCCTGAAATGGCTGCCAGGGGTGTTATAAACAGAAAGCACACCATGTCACAGAAGAGGGTGCGCTTCTCGTTCCGGGGGCCTGGGTCCCTGAGCCACTGTTGAAAAATGACAAGTAATTATCGATAATTAAAATTAACATCAGTGCCAAAATACATCATTATCCATGTTTCCATCCACCTATTTGTTTCTTGGAAAAAATATTGATAACATTGTCTACAATTTTATAGGTACTGGCCATGAGAAAGGTAAGGTGAGGCAGAGCCATGCAGACGTGGCTGAAGGCATTGACCTTTGTTACCTCTGTGAGGGGTCGAGGCCGGCGCTCAATGGTAAACTCCGTGTGGCACAGCTCACAGTAGCTGGTGTTTGATGATGAAAGCCACTTCTCCAGGCAGCTCTTGTGGACCGTGCCCAGCGTGCCAGTGCAGTCGCACGGGGACAGGAGACCCTCGCTGTTGCACACGTCTTGACCCTCGTGGCAGATCCGACAAATTGGCCGATCACTAACAAAGGAGAAAGAACTTCTTTACATCTATGCTACTTCACTGAATGCCTCATCGTGTGGAATTATAAAGCTCTAACAGTTTTGAGATTAAAGTTGAACTAAAATTATACAGGAAACATATGTAGGGTATTAAACAACATTTATACAAGAAAATGAAAGAGCCTATAAATGAACAACATAAAAATCTTTTTAAAATTGCAAGTTGGGACGTTTGGAACAGATGAAATTGGTAATATAAGGTTCCATCTTGCAAATTAATTGAATGAATTCTCAAGAAACCCAAATAGTTTATTTATGTTTGAATAATTGTGTTACATATTTGTCAAATTTAGTGCTTTTATAAAACAGTGTTAAATATTTTGCCCAATACACACATTAAATTTGATTATGAATATTCAGAGTAATTAATCATCATAGAAGGAATCATAGTATGCCTTTAATATGGTTTCGATAGGAAACAGCTACCGTAATAGCCTTTCTTTTCTCAAGAGATCAGTATGATGAAATAATGCGCTGATTATTATTCAATTAACTTGCTAGCTTTTTGACCTTTTAGGCTTTAATATTGTAAAATTTAAATGTTAAGAATTTTAAAATTCAGTAAAAAAATGAAGTTTCAGCAAAGTTTTTTCACATCCACATGCATATATACTTCAAAATATTTCCCCACTTAAATATAATATATTACATATAATTACAATGTATGCAAGAACTTGTCATTAAAAAAAGTGTTTGTTTTTTTATTTGATACTATCCAACAATGAAAAATGTTCCTATTCAGCTCACTAAATATGCATAAAGTCATAACAATAAATCATCTCCATGCACAAGTGTGTACAAGTGCTCCATACTTTGGCTCATCCAAAGTAAAGTCATCCATATGTAAAAATGTATTCCTTTAATTCTTTTCAATGCAGGACTATAATATTCTATCTGCTAGTGGCATGAATTTAAACTCTTTTGGGCCTCTGATTGGTTCTCCCATGTGCAGTCAAGGTGCTGATTGGCTCAAATAGAACATTGATAAAAAAATAAAACCAAGTTAGCCTTTTACTTTGCATTCCAAATTTTTTTGTTTTCTAAAAAACATAAAAAGGCCCAAAACATACGACTTAATAAAAAAGAAATACATAATTTTTTACATAATGTAAACAAGTATATTACAATTGTATTTATATTTTAATTTAATTTAATTTTAAATTAAAAAAAAATTTCCCAGTAATGGGTTGCGGCTGGAAGGGCATCCGCTGCGTAAAATATGTGCTGGATAAGTCAGTGGTTCATTTTGCGGCGGTGACCCCAGTTTAATAAAGGGACTAAGCCGAATGATTGAATAAAATTTTAATTGTTTCTCTTTTTTTTTATGTCTTTGTATCTCGCCACGATGTCTATCTTTCGAGGATCTTTTGGTATACTTCACTTACCAATTTAAGTGATTTCTTGATTGCAAGCAGGTGTGGCAGTAATCAGGCAAGGGTGTGAAGATAGTAATTGAACTCAGGTGTAATAAACCAGAAACAAAAGGGGGCAAACACACAGGGCTACGTAGTTTTTTATCTTGTTTTCCCTTAATAAAAACTGCATTGATGTGTTTACTTGTATTATTGAATATATAAATTTGTTTGATGAGCTGAAACAAAGTGTGACAAACATGCAAACAAATAAGAAATAGGTAAGGGTGTTAATTTTTATTTTACACCACTGTATGTGGTAGAACTTTGTAATTCCAATGTGATGATTTGTCAAAAATGTTTGCAATGCATCTCTCATTTGCATCGGTTTACCTCTGGGTGCCCAGGGCTTTGATAACAGTAGATAGTAAGCGTCCATCTTTGGCCGTGACCTGGGTGACGTACTGGGCCCGGCGGTTGTCAGCCTCCTCCACGGTTTTTGACAGGGCAGCGTTGCCAGTGCAGTCACACAGGGAGCCTGGGAGGTGGCAACACTCCCCTGTGGTCATTTCGGGGCCGTCCAGGAGGGCGGGGGGCAGGGGACCACCGGGGGAATCAGGGAGCAGCCTCGCTCCCACACCTCAAGCCACAAAGACCCTACAACTGCAGAGAAAAGGAACATCATACTGTAAACAGGTGCAAATAATGCTGCAACTTTGAAAGCAAGCTACTATTCTATTGATCAACACTGGACATTTGCATGAACCAACTGTGAAATGCACAGATGACACACTGCAAAAAAAATGCTGGGTCCACACAATTCCTTCATGTTGTCCCAACACAAATCAATTAGGTTAACTTAATTGTTTGACACATTTAAGTGGATTTTACATAAACAATTAGGTTGTCCCAAAAAACTCAAAAACTGTGTTGTTTCAGCTCATTTTAATTAAGCAGTTTGAACAAGCAGTGCATAAAATTATAGACTGCATGGATTACTATTAATAGCTTAAATAGCAAAACATTGACTACCACTGAACAATTTCTACACCCCTAAAACTGAAGTTAGGGTAAAACATACTTAAAATTAAAACAAACGTGGCAAACTTGTAGCTAAATAATAACAATAGTCACTGTTATTATATGGAATATGATTTAACATAACTTTAATGTGGAAAATACATTGATATAGATAATTTGGCTGATATCAATATCTATAAGTGTTTTATATTTGGAAACCAATATCTTAAATATAAGACAATGTCTTTGTCTTGCTGAAACTGTATTTCCTGGCCCTGATTCTAGCAGAATATTGTTCCTCTCCTCAAAATCATTTACAAACGATAAAACCTTGTGCTCTTTCTTTTCAGTGTGAAAAACACACATATGTCTATAAACTGGAGTATGCAGTGTGACCCATTTGGTCATGTGGAAAACATTTATTTGCTTGCGTAATTTAGACACATTTGTTGCCATTTTAAATGTACAAAGCCTGAAATGCCTTTACGAATTAGGATTTATACTATATATATATTTTTTTTTTGTCTTTTTTTTGTCTTTTTTTTAATGATTTAAAATATTTTGAAAATGTAAGCATTTTTGCTTTTAGTCACGTAAAATTTACAAAGTTTATTTTGCTACTACACATTGTTATATTTAAGGTGAACAATAAATCCGCGCAAGTTCATTGGCCAGATGTTATTAAACGTATTTCCTAATCTGCTTTTCGATTAGTCAGAATTAACGTGCAGGAAAATACCATTAAACTCCCGCAAATAAACAAACCGGCAGACACAAACTGTCGCTTTTTACTATGGAGGGATGACTGCGTTGGCTGATTCGTGCATAGTATATAGTTTGTACAGTTTGATAAACTATACATTTTGAGAATGAAGCGCGGCTGTGGCTGGAAAACAATGTTTTAATGCATTGCAAACGGCGAAGGCGCATCTCAATTCACTTTAGGAGGAGGTGTGAATTCATTTAGCTAAACTGCGACATGGTCATCTGGAATCATTACCAATAATCCGTCAGGTAATGTTTTTGCAAAATTGTTGGTAAAACACCATTAACAAATATTTTTCCTCCACATCCCATAATGCACAGCGCATCGGACAACAGGAGCTAGATTAGTCCAAAAAGGTGCAGTACTTTTTGCGGTTGGGTCTGTTCTAGTTCAGATAATGTTCTCACCACAAATTAACCGCTCCAGGGTTCATTTAAAATCGTATGGAGAAAACCCTTAATCCACTGAAAAAAATGTTTGCTTTGGTAATTTTTTAAGTCCACTTCAATTGACCATTTGCTTCCATGTTTGGAGTAGCGATCTTTCTCTGTTGAAACCAGTTTGACGGCTTCAGACACAATATTCTTAACCACAGCCTTTTTACCAATAGTTTGCTATGAGGAAATGATGGTCAAAAACAGCATGTTTCTGTAGGAAGTACATCAACATTCAGAAATAAAAGTCAACTTCCGGTTTATGCCGACTTTAAATTATGAAAAAATTAGTCAGATTTACTGTCATTGTATGTGCAATTGTGTGACTTGTTTTTATTGTTTTTTACAAGGGAAAAAAGAGAGACAAGCCATAGTAATCAACCATACGCCAGATATTCTGTCTGGAGTTTTTTACTTTCTAATTTTCTTTTTCTAAGCATGCCAAAACACAATGTGGCCTCTGTTATCGTGAAACAGTTCAGTTTCACCAAACCAACATCATTTTTTTCAGAAGACATTTACTAACATGTCATTCAGTATGTTAAACAATTGTTTCTATACCAAAACAAATTTTGTCAGGCATATTTAAAACAGAAATAATTTACTAATAATTTAATGACATATTAAAAAAACATAATGAACAATCACAGAGCAACACCACAGTTTTCATTTATCCTTATTCTGAATTTTTATATTTTGCTTATATCCTTCAGACCATCAAGTGTTTTATTATATAAAATATAATAAAATTTAGTATGATGATTTGTTCTGTTATATATGTAGATCAGATCAGAATAAGCATGTTGTTGTTTATTAATATATCCATTAGACTCAATGGTGACTGAACATTATTTCCTCATATTTTGACGTTTGATTTTACCAAACAGTATCAAACACTCTGACACTACTCTGAATTTAATATGCTTTCTCTGTATATAAAATTCATTTTGTAGGTTTAATCTAATGCAGAGACTAAAGTGGAACATCTTATCTTTCATCTAAACACAAATGTGGATTCGTATAAATAATCAGACAGCAGCATATAACAACAATGGCCTAGCTTTATGGTGCACACCAAAAGGATTTTGCATGAAACAAAAGTAATAGAGACAGACACAGTCTGGCAACAAAAGTAACGTATTCCACACATATTTAAAATCAACATGATTGATTTTGCTGTGTGCTTTATTCCAAGCTTTGTGTCAGAAACTTTAAGAAAAAGAACATTTTAAAAACGAACTTGATTTGATGGCAATACATAACTTAAAATAAATTCTTTCTGCAAATGCTTTAAAGACACTTTAAGAGTATGGTGTATCTCCAACTGAAAAGGGAATTTTGAGTAGGGGGCGGGAGTTTATTTGTGCTCCTCCTCTCATCTTTCATTCGCAGTTGGAGAGGATCGTGGCTAAGACTTCCTCAAACTGACATCATCAGAGAAGGATTGTCGTTCCTGAGCAAAGGCAAATGAGTTTGGTTAAAGATTATCAAAAACAAAACATTCTTTTTTTATTAGGATTAACTTGCACAGATGAAATGTTCACTTTAAGACTAACAATGTCTGCTAGCAAAATAAACATACATTTTGATTACATGCAGACTTTAGGACCAAATAAAATACACTTTGAATTATATTGTTTTCTTCCAATTGTATTTATTGAATATCTACATGTTTAGATCATTTTGAACAGTGGTATGTATGGAGTGTCATTAAGCTTTTGCCAAATTATCTACGTTTGTCAAATTACCCACTTTGCTAATAAGTTTTCATGTTTTTGAGTGTTAGCAAGTATTATACAGTACTTTAAAAATACTCAAAAATATCTCTGTCAATGTTTTCAAACAATTACATTTGATTTACCAAAGTCACACAAATGGCAATTTCCCATCCGTTACATCCATAACAGAGAGATGTCACATTCATACCAAGTTTCTACCTTTTAAATGCAAAATTGTAAAATAAAATTTAATCAATCATGTTTGTTCTTAAGTGAGTCAACTCTCATCCTTATGATTAGCATTATTTCTATCGGGCTGTGCAGTTTAATTTACAGAATATCTACAAAGTAGTTTCTATACTGTAAACTTTCAGACTTTTTTGGTCACGTCCATAACGCACGCTTATTTTCTTTTTTTTTTATCTAAAAAGTGTTTACAGATCAATATTTTTCTGACCACAGAGTTAATGGACCAGTTGTTTTGTAAATAAACAGTTGTTTCAATATAATGTTAACATCTACTTTCTCTGTGAATTTATGTTTGGAATTTTTACTGCAAATGTCACATCCATAACGCTGGAACTGCTCAAAGTTTTCTATAAATAAATCTATGAAGTTATATTGTTGGCAAAATCCTTTTGTTACAAATACATGACTGACCTGAACTGTATTGAAAAACATGAATATTTGTCAACTGATAAACCACTGCAGAAAAAAAATACATCATCTGAAAATTTTTCACATTAATATTTAGGTTGTGTTTAAAATATTATTTTTTTGTTTTGAATGTTTTTTAAGAATAAAGAGTTTAATATAATTAAATAAGATTAATTTGAATATTTTTCACATTTGACGTTCTAATAATCAAATATTAGATGATTCTAATAAATGATATACTTTTTGGGGTGGGTATTTAAGGGAAATCTCAGTATTTAAATTAATAAAAAGGAAAAATGCATAATAACGTAGTAACCACTTTCAGAACACTCAGAGAAGTGTTGTTGATAAGTATATCAATATGGTTTTAACAAAAAATATTAAAGGGACAGTTTTTACTCTGAAGTGGTTCCAAACATTCAGGATTTTCTTTTTCCTGTTGAACACAACAGAAGATATTTTGAAGAATGTTGGCAACCATTGACAACTAGGCATGGGATGATATCAGTTTTCAAGGTATACCGCGCTTTGGAAAGGTCAAGGTTTTAAAACCACCAAATTTTTTGTAATATACCGTTTCTACGTTATGTGTAATATTTTTTTATTCACATGTTTTTTTTTTTTACTAAATCAGTATCTCCTGCAGAAAAAATATCCACAGATGCCGTTTTAAATTGCAAAGAAATCAGTGTTTTTGAAACTAATGAAGAGAGCAGAGGTCTATGATTCATTTCCATTATTTAGCTTTTTATTTTTACTGCTTCAAAATACTTAAAAAAATTTTAAATAAAAAATATTGCTTTCGAAAGGGGAAAAAAGTTTTTGTTTTTTACTCAGATATTTTAAAAGAATATGTTTTAGAGCAAGGAGCACAATACCGTGATATTTGTATCTTTTTAAGGTCAGAATCTTATACCGGCAGAACGGCCTATTGACAACCATAGTAGGAAAAACAAATGTTACAAAAAAAATCATCTGGAAATTAAACAGCTTTTTTTATTGAACATTGTTCACATAAATATTGAGATTGTGTTAAAAAAAAGATTTTTATTTTTAATATTTTTAATAATTAAGATATTAATGTAATTAAATTAAATGAGATTAATATGAATACTTTTCAGATTAGATGTTCTAATAATCAAATCGTGTCTCATTAGTAATACACATCTTGGTGTTTTTTTCATGTTATTTATAGAAAATATCAGCATTCAACTTAATAAAAATGGGAATAAAACCATTAATAACAGTCAACACAATCAGAACACTCCTTTAAGATAATTATGTTCATCAGTAACAACTAAAATGATTTAAGGGAAAGTTCACCAAAAAGAAACAATAATTTTACTCTGAAGTGGTACCAAACATTCAAGATTTTCTTGTTAAACAGAAAAGAAGATATTTTAAAGAATGTTGGAAACCATTGATAACCAGAGTAGGAAAAACAAATACTATGAAAGTCAATGGTTACCGGTTTCCAACATTTTTAAAAACATCTTCTTTTGTGTTCAACAGAAAATGGAAGTCAAACAGGTTTTGTGACAAGCAAAGAGTGAGTAAACAATAACAATATTTTGGGTGAACTATCCCTTTAAGTTATGTGGAAAAATAACTGTGTAATTCGACCTTTACCACAGCACATCACTAATACAAGGAGAATTAATGCTAATTTAGACCATCTTTCATTAAATAAGACACTAAAGAAACACATATAAATATATTTTGTTGGCTACTTACGTTTTAAACACGAATACTGAAGGATGACAACTCGAAGGACTTTAAAATATAGACATTTTCCCTAGTCCATCAACATACAACCGTCACAATCACGAACATATACACGAGATATGTGTTTTGGTCTGATCCATCAAGCTGCCTGTCACTGGTCTACAGGGTGGGCCTTTCACACACACCACACAGACTGCCATTTAAACACCAACTTCCTTTAACACAGCGCTAAATGTTCCATAAATCTACACGTTTGGATCAAAACGAAGAGATTTGTTGCGCGTAAAGACACAGCGAGAGTGAATGTGGAATAATGCAGCTGCTAGTCACATTAGCCGTGTAGCAAAATATGCCACCAAAGCCTGGGATTAGAGATTAAAACAGCATTTCTTGACGTCTGATCCTACCTTCTGCTCCTCCATGCTCAGGTTATGTTATTGAGGGTGAAATCCGTTTAATGGTGGCGCTTGTTGATTGGTGATAAGGTAAAATTACAACGCTTGTTTTGGGTTTGATCCGTTCAGCAAACGACTCGGCTCGGCCTCCTACCGACGCAGTGTGCGATAAGAGCGTAGAGGGAGGCGCTTCTGTGCGCGGCGCTGCGGCGGAATTTGCGTAAAAAGCTTTGTGAATCGCCGTCGTCCGAGAAGTGTCTATTGTTATTTCTAAGGACGGTTCAACGTTCGTGAGTAGCTTTTATGTGTGATTTGATGAAAATACGACTTGATTTGAAGAAGGCTTTTGACTGAAATGTTTGTTTGTGTTTAGTTTACCAACAAAGCACTGTATAGATGCAGGTAAGTTTCGTGTTTTAGAATATTTTTTTCCAAATTAAATATATAATTTATTTATATTTTGTATTTAAAAATGTCTTTAAATGTATTTTAATGCATTTAAAATGAAACTATTTGACTTTTCGTATAGTCAGCAAACTGTGTGTTTTCATAGGAGATCTGCACTTTTATTCCCTGTCTATTTAATTTATTTACCAAACTAAAAAAAGTAATAACAGTTTTTGGGTAGTTTGATGATATTTTGTTTATACAGAACATTTCAGTCTTTTTATTTGTTTTTTTATTATTATTACTTTTAGGCCCATAGCCAGGGGTGTTCCGAGTCATTCAAAAGAACCCCCCCCCCCCCCCCCTCCAATCCAGAATCTGACTCTTACATGAGCTCATTTAACCCATTTTTGACTGCGATACCATCACAAATTGTGAAAATTATCCATAGAAAGCAAATTCAAACTTTAACTATTCAAGTGGCCAAGTTAAATGAGCTGACCAGTTTCTTATTTGCCTATAGGCTGCAGTTTTTATTTTAAAACAAGTTTTACCAGATTCATATATTTTTTTTAATGATGGATGATAATGTGCTGTCGCCTCACAGCAAGAAGGTCGCTGGTTCGAGCCTCAGCTCAGTTGGCGTTTCTGTGTGGAGTTTGCATGTTCTCCCTGCGTTCGCATGGGTTTCCTCCGGGTGCTCCGGGTTCCCCCAAAGACATGCAGTACAGGTGAATTGGGTAGGCTAAATTGTCCGTACTGTATGAGTGTGTGTCAATGTGTGTGTGGATGTTTCCCAGACATGGGTTGCAGCAGGAAAGGCATTCGCTGCGTAAAAACTTGCTGGAAAAGTTGGCGTTTCATTCTGCTGTGGTGACCCCAGATTAATAAAGGGACTAAGCCGACAAGAAAATGAATGAATGAATGATAATAAATTTGTATTTAAAAATAAGTATTTTTATGATATTTATAAAAAATAAATAAATGCTATAATCTCATTACAATATTTTAAAAACTAAATTAACTAAATTAAATTAAATCCAAATTTGTAAATAAATATTTTGTAGTAAAATAGTATGGTAAACACTTTGACAACATTGTAGGAAATATTTTATGGTGCATCAAAAAAGTGTGGTTATGATTACCATCCGACAAGCTGATCCAGCAAAGATTAGTTCTTAAAATGTCACAAATGCACAATTGAATTAAAAATGAGGCAAATAACTGCAAAAAAGGTCCACTTTAAAAAAAAAAAAGGCTTTCAATAGGCTGGCTACGGGCCTGTAATTTGTTTTAACATATTAAGACATGTAATTTTAAAATGCATTTTAACATTATTTGCATTTACTGTTTATATTTAACAATACTAAACAAATGCAAACAATATGCATAATTTAATCCACCATTCTTGTTCGTTATTCATATATATTATATATACAAACATATATACACACATGTGTGTGTATACATACATACACACACACACACACATATATATATATACATATATTTATACACACAAATGTGTGTGTGTGTGTATGTGTGCGTATATATATACATATATATATATATATATATATATATATATATATATATATATATATATATACATACATACAGATGTTACTACTTCAATGTGTTCCTTTTGCCGCCATTCATACCACGGCGACAGGGGTAAGTGGTGCGCCAACAGCTTTTGACCGCTAGGTGGCACTTTAACCACAGATATTCAGCTTTGCCTTTTCACAATACTTAACAGACAGTAGGCGTAGTAGCTTACTGTATGTGATGTGATGTGTTTAATTAAAATATAATTTTGATTTAGTTTTCTTAGTAATAAACATGCTCTTACACTATACTGAATGCTTTAGAAAAGATATATGGTGAGAAGTCATTGGCTTCAAAAAGCAAATACAAGTTCTTTAGCCTTTAGTGCCCTATTAAATTTTGTTTGGGTGAAAAAAATGTTTTGATTTCTTTGACCATCATGGCGATGTTATTACCTCAAATCCTAAACGTGCGCATATGAAAAACAGCAAAATAATATTAAGATTATCGTGTCGGTGGAGCACATCACCTGATTGTGAACACCTAAACTTACTTTATCAGTAGGCTGTTTATTATTTATTACAGGCTATGTATGTATATATGTATATATATATATATATATATATATATATATATATATATATATATATATATATATATAGACAGATATATAGATAGATAGATAGATAGATAGATAGATAGATAGATAGATTAGATAGATAGATAAGATAGATAGATAGATAGAGAGAGAGATTCACACAAACATGTTGAGCAATAGAGTCAAAAAAAGATTCACGATTGCAACTGTGACAGTAATTTGGTTTATTTTCCATTTCAATGTAACCTGATAAAAGGCAGAACAGCTGTTGTGACTTCATGGATGTGTAAATGTCACATAACCACACTTGAAAAAGGCATCTTAATCACAGTATGGGAAAACATAAGGCATTTCCATAACTAGCCGTATCACTGAAAGTCAAACAATCTAATATATATAGTGACTTTTTCACAGACCGGTGAAACAACTGACCATCTAAAACACTGCGGACCATTGCATTTCCCCGCTGAAGAGCTATAATCCCTCAGTGATGCAATGAATAGTTTACATTTTTATATTTATATATAACTGTTATTTGAAGAATTTCTCATGAAATGCTTAATAGACGCATTCAATAACTGCTATATATACGGCAATCTGAATGCGTTGCTCAAATTGCGACGAAAAAAACAAACAAAAAAAACACACACCCGGCAGTCCTGGCGTAAAATATTGCAGGATAGGACTAAAGGTGTGACAATTGAAACATTTAACAAATTGAAATAAAGATAACAGCAGCCCTCCTTTGGTATCCGTGCGATCCAGACAAGACGAATTCGCAATTTATTTATTTTATTGATATTTATATATTATATACGAAAAAAAACTTGCCCTTTCAAGCCCAAGTCAGGGATCTGGCTCAACCGACAGCAGGCCTTTAGTGTGGATCCCAGAGAATAACCATCAGAGAAAGCCAAAGACACACTGATCCCTCACCATCCCTTTTCCGTAGGAGCAGATCACACGATCAGCGCTCGAATTATCACTTCCGAAAAAAAAAAACAAGTTTTGCAAACCAGATGGTTGATGATAGTAAAGAAAAAAAAAAAAAGAAAAAAAGGGACATACAAACAAAGATCCCCCCAAAGAAAGGAAAAGGAATGTTACCTAGAGATTCACGCTTCTATGGGACGTCTAGAATTAGCGTGGTAATCACGACGAGGTAAAAAGAGGAGAGAGCCGTAGCTGTAGCACAACACACAGGAGCGAAAGCGGAGATAAATAGAGGGGAACTGAAACCCAAGGGTCGGGTAGGAGCAGGGGAGGGGGTGTTGGGTCACAGGTTCTGACAGCACTGAAATTTGTTGCCCTTTAACCCGTCAGTAGTGGGCGGCACGCTGATGTCCACTACGTTATTGCCAGGAGACTCATCGTGCCCGGGCCTGTCGACCATCTGTTTCTGTGACACAATCCGATAGATTTCTGAAACAACAGCAACATTTTTTTTTTAAAAAGCCATATTTAATAATAAATAAATAAAATAAAACAATACTTAACCCTTTATAGGGCCCTTATTGAAATATTCATTTGGAAACTGAGGGTTTAAAACAAGATTCTTTTTACTTTTATGATTAATATAAGTGTGCGTGTGTGTGGGAATGAGAGAGTGTATGGCTGTTTCACAGAACAGTGCTGGGTTGTGGCTGAAAGAGCATCCTCTGGCCTTTCATTTCAGAGTAGCTGGCGGTTCATTCCACTGTGGAAACCCCTGATAAATGAGGCACTAAGCCAAAAAAATAAATATAATATTGCAATCAATATCAATAAGGTTACCATGCTTCTTCATCTTATAAAATGTTACAAATATTTAATATTGATATGCCCAGTGGGATCATTTAGTGTTGTTTGGTGGAAATTATTACCATTTGAAAAGAAATATACAGGATCAAGAAATTTTCAAGGAGAAAGATTTAATGGTCATGCAAATTTGCCTTGCAAAATCCAGTCAAAAGACTTCTGGGCGACAGATTTTCCTACATCCATTTCAAAGCAGGTTTGAGCTCGATTACTCAATGGAAGTGCTGCATTTATAAAAAGGCAGCAGCATGACGAGGAACTGGGCGTCCATTTTTACGCTCAGTGCTTCATTAATCATGTACACAGACAAATGCACTTCATTAAACATGTACGCATAGACATCACCTATATGCTATAAAACTGCAGATTAACTAGGCTTATTTATAATTACTTATGTTTAATTGTAGTGCAATAATGTGCACTTTCTGTAAAGCTGCTTTGAAACAACAATTATTATAAAAAGCGTTATACAAATAAACCTGAATTGAATTGCTGAGAGCTCAGCCGTTTTTAATTGCTCACAACAGAGCTATTTTGAAAGAGCGCTGACATTTTCAGCTGTGCAAAACGCTTTGGTATAGTTTCACACATACAGAACTTTGTGGAAAATTACCATCAATTTTTCAGAAGGGTCTGTATGTGTGAACAGGCCCTTTTTGAAAATACCGGTAAATTTGTTCAGGCAATTTTCCGGAAAGAGAAGTTGTAACCAACGGTAATTTGTCAGAATGCTGCGCTGTGTGAATGCAAAAGGAAAATTGCTGGAAGGAGCGCGTTCACGCTTAGAACACGCTGACGTGAGACGTCTACTCCAGCCAATCAGAACATCCAGACGCATTCACATCCGCACTGTTTATGAAAATAAAAGCTTTTAAATATTTTACCAGACACATTTAGCTGCTAGATGGTAGTCACATACGGTTTCTATGTTCATTAATAATGCCAACTGCGTAAAATAATTATCAATAAAATGCTTATGATAAACCGCTGTTTGTTGACCATCAAGCTCTGCTTCAGTTGCTTGACGCGTGTGCACATGGAGTGCTCCGGTGAGCACTAGCACACACACATATTAGGTACATCTCAACATGAGAAAGCGTTCCTCCATATGTTTTCATCGAAGTTGTTTACAATACTTTTCCACAGAGTTTGTAATGGAGTCAAATGTGTAAACATTTAGCTGCGGTTAGTGCTTCTGCCTTTGGATGTCTCTGCAGCTGCATGAATGCTAAAGCTTTAAATAAAAGTGAAACCACCAACAAAACAAAAGCCCGAGCCCTTTTATGATTACAAATACAAGCGCAGCCGTTTTGAGGCCATTTCTGGTTAAGGATGTCAGAATTTACTGGTATTTTAGAATGGATGTGTGAATGGTCTTTTCTGTACAAACCTTAGGAGGGCCAATACATTTAGTCAGAGAAAGGGCCCACCTGTTAGTATGTTTTTAAATGCCTCCTCCACATTTGTGGAGTCCAACGCCGATGTTTCAATGAAGGAGAGATTGTTCTTCTCTGAAAGACACAAGAGGAAGGATATTTTTGAAACATAAAAACATTCCCAATGACTTGAAAACACAGAAGGAGACTCTTACCTGCAAAAGCTCTGGCCTCATCAGTGGGCACGGCCCTCAGGTGCCTCAGGTCGCTCTTGTTGCCCACCAGCATGATGACGATGTTGTTATCCGCATGATCCCGCAGCTCCTTCAGCCAGCGCTCCACATTCTCGTAAGTCAGATGTTTTGCGATGTCGTAGACCAGAAGAGCTCCAACTGCACCCCGGTAGTACCTATAAAGGAGATCCAGGCAAATTATTTACAGAATTTCAATCATATTCATACAGTAGATATAAATAGATGTTTGTTGACACAAATTAAACATTCAGCGTCAGTTCTTGATTCACTTCAGTAATTAAGCAGCACTGAATATATTAGAAAATATTTACTTTATTTGTATGACAATATACTAATAAAGCTTATGTTAATGAACACTGAACTGAAAAATCTTTCTCCACCCAGTTTTGTACATTGGATGCATGATCTAATGCAGTCTATTCAAATAGAAAAGATTAGGTATACAGTTTGCGGTATTCCTGAAAAGTTTGACACTATTTGGCAACCCTTCCTCCCACATTTTTAACACTTATCTGTATTGCTGTACAACCTAATATGTCTTAACTTTATTAATCTTATAATTATAATAAAAAATATAATAATAAAAATTTAAGTGTGTGTGTGTGTTTTGAGTTTTTATATTGTTCTTGAAGCAAGAATATGTTATTGTTTTGTTTAATTAGGAGAGAAAGAAAATGTAAACCAAATGTTTTCTGCTGCTAGATTGAAACAGTTGTGTCTTGATGTCTTGTGATTCTTTGTATTTAATACTGTAACTGACTAAAATGAATCAATAAAAACTTAAGAGTTAAACTAAAAATGTGTTAACAATATTAAAAAGTGCAAACAATACCTGTAACTACTTCAAAAAATCAGAAATATTGATATATTTTCTAAGTCATTAACAGAACTTTCACAATTATTACTAACACTAAAATATGATTTTTAATTATAAGTTTGTTATGAATACATAATTGGTTATGGTACTATAATTATATTTTTAATAATTGTGTGCTATTAGCAATAAGAAATACCCTTTTAATAAATAATTTATCATTTAACAAATATAATTAATTTAATTTATTATATATTATTTAAGTTTATATAGCACTTTTACAATATTACAATTATTAATAACACTATTAAGTACTTATACTACATAGTTTAAAATATTAATTAATTTTGTAAATAATAACTGTGTATTTATAACTGCATTTTCAATAATAGTATGACATTAGCAATAGAAATTTCCTTTTAATGACCTATCATTTAATCATTATTATTAATTATATATTATTTATGTTTACATAAAACTTTTTACAATATTACCAATTTTAATAACACTATAAAATACTCATACTACTTTTTTAAAAATATAACTTTACCATATAAGCACAATTATGAGTCATTTAGAATTATAATTGCATTTTCAAAAAAAATAGTATATTAGCACTAAAATATTTAAGTTATTTAATGAATAATTTATATTATAATCATTATTATTAATTTATTATATATTGTTTACGTTTATATAGCACTTTTACAATAATACAAATATTAATAACACTTAAATACTTATACTACAAAATTTTAAATGTAAATTTACTTTATAATTAGATAATTAGTTATTAAATTATAATTGAATCTTCAATAATGGTATGATATTATTAATGAAAAAACCCTTTATTTAATGAGTAATTTATCATTAGTGTCTAATATATTGTTTATGTTTATATAAAATTATGTTTGCATTATTTATTTAATATTTTACATATAATTAATAAAGAAAATATGTGCTATTACTATTATTTTAGCATCAAATAATAAGAGCTTTTTAAGTCCTATACTCACGCTGATGTTATTGCTCTGTAGCGTTCCTGTCCTGCTGTATCCCAGATCTGAGCTTTAATGGTCTTCCCGTCCACTTGGATGCTGCGGGTTGCGAACTCCACACCAATGGTGCTCTTGCTCTCCAGGTTAAACTCGTTCCGAGTGAAACGGGACAACAGGTTACTCTTCCCCACCCCAGAGTCTCCAATGAGAACCACTAGAATACATTAAATAAAATGTCAGTCTGTTGTGAGCAAGACTTCAAGCTTGAAATCCCAAAGACGCATTATAGCTGCTCCAATGAAAACCATATCTATAAGGAAGATGTACAGCCATCACCATATGGAATAAAACTTGAAAGCAAACCACAAACCAAAGTGTGCACCCAAAGCAAATACGATGGCATCATTTGAAAAGCAGAAGCTGTGGAGATTAGTCAGTCATCCTGGTTACTTCTACACAACAAGGCCACAGAGATAACAGAAAAGCCGTAATCTACAAACACACACTTCCACGGTCGCTTATCCTTTATTCCACACCATAAATACTGAAATACAGGCCTAGTCAAAGTGTATAAAGTCAGGAAATGAGTTAAAAAATAATAATAAACTGCTTTACTGTGTCCTCCGCAACATGGTCACCATTCATTTTCTTTAGATGAAACCTAAAGTAATTCACAAAACTGGTGTAGATCAAGTGGAGAACATCTAAACACTGCTAAACAATTTAAACAAAATACAATGACCACATTCGTGGTTCTCACTCACATTGCTAAAAACAACACATTTTAAAGGGTTGGTGTAAAATCAGGAACCCAGTGTGGCAAGAAACAAGAAGTATGTGTAAGAGGAAATTTAATGTATCTAACTGGTGCAAGCGTGTACGTGTGTGTGTGTGTGTGTGTGTGTGTGTGTGTGTGTGTGTGTGTGTGTATATATATATATATATATATATATATATATATATATATATATATATATATATATGTATATATGTATGTATGTATGTGTGTATGTGTGTATGTGTGTATGTGTGTGTTTAGACACACACACACATTTATTTATATTTATAGTTATTTCACAATGTCATGTCTTAGATGTCTTTAAAATTTCAGAATGACGTCATTATCATGCAGTTGTCAACTTTATAATGCAATTAATCTGCCGGCTTTGTGATTTAACATATTACGAGATGGTATAAATCTGGTTAAAAAATCATTTTAATTGCGTGTTGTTAATCAATATTGATCCGTTTGAAAATTAAGAAAACACTATTGTGTAAGAAACGACAAAGTTTCATATGGCCTAGCATTCCAACCACAGAATATTAAGTAACACATTGTTAAACGACTGGAAAAGTTGTTCGTTTTTTCGGCGTACATGATATAAAACTAAACACATTTAATGGGAATTTGTTACACCTCGTTCATGGTTTTGGTGCTAACTTATTACATCAAGTTGATTTAGTTCACATTAGCATTCTCAGGTTAGAGAGCTAACGTCACCAAGCTAACATAATGCTAACTACATTAAGCAACTGTCATGACGATTTAGGGAATATAGTCGAAAGACAATGCAGATTTTGAAAATAACTCTTTAAAATAGTTAATCCTCTGTCAACCCTCGATTCGTCGAAAGTCACCGGTTAACATTTCGATTGCTAATGTCAGTGAATTAGCATTCCAGCTAAACCAGGTAGCCACAGTCCTCAGGAAACTTGCTGTTTTCCCTTTATTACAAATGAAAATAAAATGCGTTTATTATTCTCTCTTGTTCTACATAAAACCACTGACCTTTAAATAAATAATCGTATTCGTCGTCACGGGTCCCCATGGTTGGTTAACCGCACTGAAATGTTGTTATTTAGCAACGGATCTCTCCTGAATTTAGCGATGTCCGATTCGTGAACGAATCGTTTAATGAGTCGGATCTTCTTAGTGATCATTTGAACCGGTTCAAAATCGGCACCAAATGATTCATTCACGAAGCGACCAAAATATGAGGTTTCAAACCAGTTTCAGACCTTTGTTCATAAACTTTTTTTTTCGCAAAAACAATGGTTAGACTTCAAGATTAGCAAAAAAAAAATTATTTTGAGTAGATAAACTTGCTATGTTTAAGTCAAGAATACGAATAACAATGCGGGGTAGCAAAATAAACACCGTAAACTTCTCACGCGGACTTTATTTTACAGTGAAGTGGCGAGGGGCACGTCATATTCAAATTTAAATATATTTAAATGTTGGAAATTCATTTTACGTCACTTATTTGATTGCCTGCAACAAACCTCAGCTTTACAGCAGATCGCTCAAGGAAGAAGACACTATCTTCTGCTTTGGTGTACAGTACGAATACCTTGCGGGATTTCATATAAGCCTACAACGAACAGGTCTGCTATAAAGGTAAGCATAATGTAGTGAAACTAGACATTTTAAAGCAGAGCTGCAAACTATTTTATATCACATGAGAAACCTTTCTTATCGTAGTAACTTATGTTATAAACTGTTATTGCTTTATACTACGACATTAAAGCTAAACACAAATTTACCGTCATTATTTAAATCTTTTTTGTGTTCATTTATAGTTGTAATTCTATTTTCTATGTTACGTCTGGTTTCAGTTTCAACTAACTGGGCTTGGTTTTCAAAGTTTCGTTTAACCATGTTCGCGTCAATTATTGACATTAATGCACTGCAATGCCCTGAAGAACAACGCATCATTTACGTAAACATATTTTCATAGCAGGCTATATGAAAAAATAAGATTAAAAAAAATATTTCATTTTGAATAAGATCACAAATATCTAGAACATTTGAAATATGCTGTTGTATTTATATTTGCATGCTGTTTTGTTTTTCCTTAAAGATGCAACAACAGTTGGGAGGTTTGCTTGGGCTTCCCATCTCTTCTGATTTAACAAAAGAGCAAAGAAAGCAGCTCTGTGACCTGCTTGGAAATGTGGATCTGTCTCTTCTCTATAAAGCTTCTGTTCATGGATATAAAGCTTCTATTTTCCATAAGAGATGCGACAATGAGGGTCCCACCTTACTAGTAGCCTACAACCGTTCAGGCTATATCTTTGGTGGATACACTAGTGTACATTATGCTCAAAGTGGGCAATATCTTGCTGACAACGAAGCTTTCCTGTTCACCTTTCAAGGCAAGATCCCTGTCTACACCAAAGTTAACAGTGGATGTTATGCACGTCATGATAGTGGAGGATCTCCCAACTTTGGTGGGCAGTTGTACTTCTGTTACAACAACCAACCAGAGGTTCTTATTAAAAAAGGGACATCATTCAGCTTCAATGCTGAAAGACTGTTTGGAAATGACCGTGACCTGACTGAATGTGAGGTGTATAAAGTCGAACAGAGTAAGTCAATCACAAAAAAAAGGTCTGTCATGTAGGTTTTGTGATTGAGTTTAATCTCTAAAAATTAGTTTGTTTAGGATTGATAGCTAAAGTGGTCAGCATGGTGGCTCAGTGGTTAGCACTGTAGCCTCACAGCAAGAAGGTCTCTGGTTCGAGCCCTGGCTGGGTCAGTTGGCATTTCTGTGCATGTTCTCCCTATGTTGACGTGGGTTTCCTCCAGGTCCTCCAGTTTCCCCAATAGTCCAAAGAAGTGCCTAATAAACCTAATTAGTTACAGTCATGCAGAGTATGAGTGTGAGCGAGTGAGTGTATGGATGTTTCCTAGTACTGGGTTGCAGCTGGAAGGGCATCTGCTGTGTAAAACATATACTGGATAAGCTGCTGTGGTGACCCCTGATGAATAAAGGGACAAAGCTGAAGAAAAATGAATAAATGAATGATAACTAAAGCCACAAGGATTCTGCCCATTCAGAAATCCACAGATTTTCAGACATTTTTTAGCCCATCATTGAATTTGTTTATTGACATATGTAAATATGTATAAATATATGTTTATTTGGTTTTTATATTAATTTCAGTAATATTATTGACTAATATGAAAAGGTTCATATGGTTTATTTACAATACAGTTTTGTAAAGTAATATGCTCTCTCTTTTAGTAGATATATTATATGAGAGACTTACTTTGTTTACCAAACATTCATTCATTAATTTTCTTTATGGCTTAGTCCCTTTATTAATCCGGGGTCATCACAGCGGAATCAACCGCCAACTTATCCAGCACATTTTTTACGCAGGGGATGCCCTTCCAGCCTTAACCCATCTCTGGGAAACATCCATTCACACTCGCACTATACGGACAATTTAGCCTACTCAATTCACCTGTACCGCATGTCTTTGGACTGTAGGGGAAACCGGAATGCCTGAAGGAAATCCACGTGAACACAGGGAGAACATGCAAACTCCACACAGAAATGCCAACTGACCTAGGTGAGGCTTGAACCAGCGACCTTCTGGCTGTGAGGCAACAGCACTACCTACGGCGCCACTGCGAAGATTTTGTATAATATTTAAAAAATCCAATCAAGCAATTTTTTGTTTAAAAGACAACCACACTAAAATCTAGATGTCTATAAATAGCCCAAAACTAGTCTAGTCATCAAATACACAGATTAGACCAACTTCATGTGTCGGGAATGTGTTCATTCCTGTCTGTTTGATGACTAGTCTAGTTTTGGCCAATTTTTAGACAACTATTAGATTTTTACTAGCAGCCCAGATTTAGTCTTGTTTTTTTAGCCAAGCCATCCGTAATTAAATGACTGTTAGATGTGTAATAGATTTCTATTAGCTTAAGGTAATAATCTATATTCAACATTCATCAGACCTTGTGACCAAGGAGAAGCCATGGAGGAATATTTCCTGGACATCAATGTAAGTTTGCACTGTCCTTTAATCATTTTTTATGTCATACATTAGTTTTAATTAAAAAATAATGTTGTGATTTCCTAGACGAAGAGAGGAGCTCATGAAAATGATCAGGAGTTATAAACCCCTGGTGACGTCTGTCAGCCGTGCTCGTATTCTGATGATTGGTCCTGTGGGTGCTGGAAAATCCAGTTTCTTCAACTCCATTAACTCAGTTTTCACTGGTCATGTGACCAACAAAGCCATCTCAGGATTTGCAGGAACGAGTGTCACCACACAGGTATAGCTTCTACAGAGCTTCCTTTAGAAGCCTCTCTTCAGTTTGAGGAAGATCTTTTTATCGTGTTCGTCTTCTTGGTTAACAGTTTCGCACATACCCAGTTAAAGACGGTCGAGAAGGAAAGCCATTGCCATTTGTGTTGTGTGACACCATGGGCCTCGAAGAGCAATCAGGAGCAGGACTGGACATTGAGGACATCAGCAGCATTCTTCAAGGACAAATACCAGACCGCTATAAAGTAAGAGCACTTACTGAATCTCCAAAATGAATAGAGACTGAAGTTTGAATGATACAGTTTTGGCATAGTTCCAGAATAGGTCCTGGTATACTCCAAACTAAACTCTTTTTCATTATTAATTTGAAGGCAAAAATAAGTTTGTAAAGGCTGAGTGATGGTGTACTGTTTTTGAACACTCTAACACTGCAGTAAGCAGGGTTGTAAATGGTTCACGCTTGGCATGCCCACCTCAGCACAACAATGGTGGCTGAGAGCAAGGCTGGAGTGGGACTCCTTTTTAGCTGGCCCACCTTAGTTCACGACTGACTATATTATAATAACGTAATTTCCAATTCAGTTTCTAATGACACTCTTACGTCTTTTTTAAGGAAACAGGTGCTTTAGAACTTTAAATGTTTTTCATAAATATGAGAACATTAAAGGGTAGCTAAATCTCCAACACTCTTCTTTAAAACATCACAATGTCCTTTCCTGCAATATCTAAATATATATACAGTTGAAGTCAGAATTATTAGCGCCCTTTTGATTTTTATTTTCTTTTTTAATATTTCCCAAATGATGTTTAACAGAGCTATGATATTTTTACAGCATGTCTGATAATATTTTTTCTTCTGGAGAAAGTCTTATTTGTTTTATTTCGGCTAGAATAAAAGTAGTAATTAATTTTTTAAAAAACATTTTTTGGGACAAAATTATTAGCCCCTTTAAGCTATTTTTTTTAAAGTCTACAGAACAAACCATCATCATACAATAACTTGCCCAATTACCCTAACCTGCCTTGTTCACCTTATTAACCTAGTTAAGCTTTTAAATGTCACTTTAAGCTGTATAAAAGTGTCTTGAAAAATATCAAGTAAAATATTATTTACTGTCATCATGACAAAGACAAAATAAATCTGTTATTAGAAATAAGTTTTTAAAACTATTATGCTTAGAAATGTGCTGAAACAATCTTCCCTCCATTAAACAGAAATTAAGGAAAAAAATAAACAGGGGCGCTAATAATACGGGGGGGCTAATAATTCTGACTTTAACTGTATTCGGTGCAAAATAGATATATATTATAGATATCCAGTCCTGTGTAACGGTGATCACACAAAAACTAAAAATAAAATATGTACACCTACATATGTAACCCAAACAGTATTATATGTCTTAACACTAAAAATTAAAAAAAAAATAAAAAATATTTAGGTGAGCTTTGAACTCGGGTCGTTGGCTTCGTAATGCAACATGCTGACCACTGGACCACAATGGTGCTATGATGCTGGTGCATTTGCTACTGCAAGACTTTTTTAACCACATTTCTATAGATGGCTTGAACTTTTTCTCCTCTTTAGATTTCTCATCAAGTTATGTCAGATTTATTAATGTAGTGAATCATCTGATTTTCATTAAGTAGAAGTAATATTCATTAATTTTGATTATTCCAATTGTTTTTTTCGCTAAGGTGCCGCTGTTTAGGGTCGAATGATAGTTACATCATCATTAACCTGCGGGCTGTGTTTTGCTCACGGGGCTGCGAGAAAATAAATAAAAAGAGCTGAGCTGCAGCAAAATAATGAATACAAAGAGTGAGGCTATGGTCAAATTAATAAATAAATAAAAAGTGCGACTGCTGAGAGCCCAAGCAGCTAGAGACACCCTTGTGGCCAAAAAAACAGACCAGCCCACTGGGAATTCTCCCGGTCCTCCCGATTAGCCAATCCGGGCCTGGCTTAGAAAGAAGAACAGTTTTATAAACATCAGGCAATCAGCCTTCTTCACGAGAACTTCACAAGCCACCAAAGCTTATCTTTACATTGTTTTTTATTTGCCATAGACAGACATCACTGGTGTCTGCAAACTCTTTAAAATTTCTCTGTGAGCGATCCTACAGGTGCGGATATATCTGTACCAGCTCTGATACTCGACTCTCCAGTGTATTCATCCTGCTAGTGTTGTTGTGTTAGATGTTGTTCATGTTTCACCCCTTGAATGAAAAACAAATCAAAGGAAGAAATTACACATCAAAGAGAGGAAGATCCAGAACACGACTACTGATTGTGTAATCATCACAGACTAATGGTAGCTCAAAGGTGTTTAGGAGCCAAAATGAACAAAAGTCGATATAGTGAGGTGTTTTAAACTGATGAAATTAACTAAAAAGAACATCATTTTAGTCAGATTTTGTTTGGAATTGCATAATTTTAGTTTGTTTGAAGTATAACAGGGCCTTAAATGCTTGAGAGGTGTTTAAATCTGTTGTGTAGCTGTTGTATATGTACATAAGGTGTATGTGGAATATCCATTCATTAAAACAATAATCTCCATAAAAGCTATAATTTACAGTGAATAATAACTGCTAAGTGGTTTAAGCGGGTTATAAATTCCCTAAAACCACAGATTATTGGCATTTATTACTTTATTTGATGCTAAATCCTCTCGATTCAGTTCAACCCTGGAGCACCATTTCAACCTGATGAGCAGAAGTCCTCCAGTCCTGCGTCTCTCCAGGAGAAGATCCACTGTGTGGTGTACGTGATCGACGCCAGTAAAATCTCCCTTATGTCCGACAAACTTGAAGAAAAGCTGGCTCTGATGCGTAGAGAAATAAACTCACTGGGTAGGCACATTAAAGTAATCAATGTTATTTTACTTGCTGCCAGCTGAAAGTTTGTATTAAAACATTTCAGGCATTCCCCAAATGGTCGTGATGACAAAAGTAGATGAAGCTTGTCCTCATGTGGAGAAGGACCTTTACAAAATCTATCTCAGTTCCTACATCAAGTCAAAGGTGAGACATAAGAACATGAGCTGTTAATTGGACTGAACAGGAGATAATGGTGTGTGTTGTATGTGCAGGTGCAGGAGGTGAGCTCTAGGTTGGGTGTGCCGGTGTCTTGTGTTTTACCAGTGAAGAACTACAGTCAGGAGCTGGAGCTGGAGCTAAACTGTGACATCCTGCTTCTCACGGCTCTACAGCAGATGCTTCGATTAGTAGATGACTATCTGGATGATGTTGAATCCTTTTAGGCCACAGAAAGCACTGTGAAGACACATAACTCTTAATCAGCACAATACACTTTTCTATTCTCTATTTTTTTATCCATTTTAGATCCTTTACAATCATAAATGCAGTTCAAATATCGGCCAAACATTACATTTTAATCACTGTTGCTTTCTGAAGTTGCCTATTTGTTATGTCACAATCAGGTTATTTACAGAATTTAGAGAAAAACTAAATTCAGGACGTTAAATGTGTATTAGGTTTATAAAAAGTGCTTTTTTTTGCTCACTTTTTCATTCTGTGCTTGTAAAATTAAAATAAGCAGCAATTATTAATACTTATATTATGGGGCTGTGCATTCTTTTTTTTATTAATATAGTGGCCCATCGTCAGTTATCACACTATATTATCTGTGTACACTGTAAAACCCAACAGTCAACTTATCAAATGAAATGAGTGTAGTTAGCTCAAATTTGACCAAAAGTTAAGTCTACTCATTTAAAAGAGGGTTTTGAACTCACTGTTGAAGGTTATGAGTTAATTAAATACCTCATTATTTCAACTTAAATAGAGTAAGTTCACAGTACTCATATAGATTAGTTTAACTTAAATTATTTGTAGTAATTGGTTTCCTCAAACGGTTTGAGTTGCCTTAACTTATTGGGTTTTACTGTGCTCAAATTGCATCGTTTACTCAAATAGATTAAGTTCACAGTACTCATTAGGATTCGTTTTTGAACTTAATGAAATGGTTTGTTGCAATCAGTTTCCTCAAATGGTTTGAGTTACCTTAACTTTCTGGGGTTTACAGTATAGTATTGTCTCACTATGTGTCTGTGTATTGTCTCACTATGTGTCTGTAGGATCATAACACAATGTTTTATTGCACAGAAGAGTAGCAGACTAGTCCCTTTGAATCATTTATTCATAATCATATGCTGTCTGTAGGTCTCGCGTGTGGCGTAGATGGATGTTAGATATTGGAGGTGCTTCCATTTGATCTTAACCAAAAATGAATGCAACTGCTGATGGAAATACACTTTGTGATATTGCAAGGTTGCTCACCTCAAAGCTAAAGATGGTCACTATCTTGCCCAGAGAAGAACCTCTCTGTAAAGTCTACTTTAGCCCATCTAAAAAATATCCAGTGGGGTTTAGGTCAGTTGATTCTTTGCCTTGTCATTCTGAAATATGACCACAGGAGATGTTGTTCAAGAAATAAAAATTCTATGCTGCATATGTTGTGTTAAACAATTGTTGCCAAACATATAACATGACAGAAGCATATTAATCACTACAGTAAAAATCCAATCATAGATTCTTGAGTAGCCTGCTTGGCAACACTTTATTTTGATGGTACAATGTCTTCAAATGTCTTCAACAGACATTTAACTGACTATAAGAAACTTTGCATATATATATTCTTTTTCTGTCTTTTTGTATGATCCCAATTTACCTTTTGCATATTGTAATAATAATAATAATAATCATGGCAAGAATGAACAATAAATAAATAAATAAATATATATATATATATATATATATATATATACATTATGTATAGAAACTTTGCATATATATATATGTGTATATATATATATATATATATATTTTTTTTTTTTTTCATTCTTGCCATGATTATAATTATTATTATTACAATATGCAAAAGGTATACAAATTGGGATCATACAAATAGAAAGAAAATGAATATATATATGCAAAGTTTCTTCTCTCTCTCTCTCTCTCTCTCTCTCTCTCTCTCTCTCTCTCTATAAATATATATATATATATATATATATATATATATATATATATATATGCAAAAGGTATACAAATTGGGATCATACAAATAGACAGAACAAAACAACAATGGTCAGGTACTGGCAGGTGCGTGTGTGTGTGTGCATGCAAAGGTAACTTGGTGGATAGGTCAAAGTACATACACAAGGGACAATAACTGTCAATAAATGAAGCAAGTATTATAGATTTAAACAAAACAGATAAAAAGAAACCTATCAGTGGTAAGGAGTGACAACAATGCCAGCAATCCACAACAGCAACAATGACAGCAAAAAGTAAGGACAGCAGTAATAACAACTGACAACAACAATAATAAATTACTAATACTACACCAACTACCACTACTACAGAACATTACTAATGTTACAACTTCTAATGCTGCTACTACAGTCACAACCAAGACTACTACTACTACTTCAATGTCTACTGATACTACTAGAGCGTCTACTACAACTGATACTACTACAGCAACATCTACTACTACTGATACTACTACAGGGTCTACTACAACTGATACTAAAACAATGTCTGCTACTACTACAGCAATGACTGCTACTACAACATCTACTACTTCTGATACTACTACACTGACAACGACTACTACTACTACTACAACAACACCTCTACTACTTCTAATACCACTATACCAATGACATCTACTACAGAAACTACAACAACTATTTCAGCAACCCCAACTACAACTACAATTGCTACTACTATAATGACTACTACTACTATAACTACAGCAATCTGTCAACTTATAATTTAACGAGAACAAGTTGGCATGTAGATGCAATGCAACTTAAATTCAACAAACAGACCATCAAAATAAAGTGTGACCGCCTACTTACTGAATTCCAAATAGGGACTTTTTTTAATGGATGCAAGGTTTTCACCTGCTGTATCTCTTCTGCTTCATTATTGTTTGACCATGTAGAAATGCTCTTTATCAAGTGTTGGTTATAATGAGTTTCTATTCCTTTTCTATCAGTTTTAAGCATCTGGCCCACCTCTGACATTAACAGCAAGGTACTTATGTCCTCATTTTTCTGGATATTTTCACTTTTTTTCTCAGACAGTAGATCAGCATTTCTGAAATACTCAAAGCAGCCTCTTAAGGCAACTAAAAGCTTCTTTCTAAAAATATCTATCTATCTATCTATCTATCTATCTATCTATCTATCTATCTATCTATCTATCTATCTATCTATCTATCTATTTGAGTTTCCTCTATAATGACAATTTTTTATGAGGCTCCTGTGTGTATGTATAGTAATATCTTTTTTTATGGCAAAGAATAAGTGTTTTTGTTTAAAGTGAAATATCTCAACATAAACAAAGGAGGCTAAGAAAAATCTTCATTTTTAATGGAAATTTCAGACGGCACTTAGAGGTTTTTGCATCTTGCATCTGCGTGTCATATATATATGAAGAGTATACACACACAAACACACACAGTTGAAGTCAGAATTATTACCCCTTTTGGTTTTGATTTCGAATAATTTCCAAATGATGTTTAACAGTGCAAGGATTAATCTAGTTAAGCTTTTAAATGTCACTTTAAGCTGTGTAGAAGTGCCTTGATAAATATCTGGTAAATAAAATAAATCAGTTTATAAAGATGAGTTATTAAAACTATTATGTTTAGAAAAATGTATGTTAAACAGAAATTGGGGGGAGGGGGGAATAAACAGGGGGGCTTATAAATCAGGGGGGCTAATAATTCTGACTTCAACTGTATATATTTTAAAGCTGACGTTTTTGCAATATTTTAAAATATATGTTGCATTTATGACATTTTATAAATGTAAAATCAAAATATAAACTTTTATGTCTTGCAAATTGCATACGACATAAAAGTTTATATTTTGATTTTACAATTATAAAATGTCATAAATGCAACATATATTTTAAAGTAGGCCTATATCAACCCACGAGGATGTGGTCATTGTCCATCGTGGTTTCCACAGGAGTAAGGAAGAAGCAGAGCTCACATTGCGATTGAATAGTCTACGAAGCATTTCAGTATTCCATGCACTGAAAGGTAATACTTTAATTGCTGTAAATAAAAATATTATAGCATATGTCCTTTATTTTCCAAACATGAAAGGTTCAGTATTCCTTATTTGACGAATTGATGTAAGTTTCAGGGCGCGCTCACAGAGCGAGTAGACTGTACCTCAGAGATTAATTTTAGATGTAATGTTAGAATAATGCTAACACGTGCTTGTTTCAATGTACTCTCTTACATAATAATGAGAATGGACTTGAGTTCAAGTAGTCTAATCATGTAAAAAAAAAACAAAGCACGTCAATAAAAAAAGGTTTCATTATGGTTTAAAAGTTTACATTAGTAATTTGTGGCCGATTGACTGACCTTCATGTGCATATAAACAGTTTTAATACAAATACTATGCAGAAAAACAAGGAAAATTTGTGAACGGTTTAAATACAATAACAATGTTTTTATTTATATAGTACAACCATGGTTAATATTTATAGTTATTAAGCAAATATTTATATAGTACAACCATGGTTAATATTTATAGTTATTAAGCAAATAATTCTGCTTTGATATTTAAAAAGATGGCTTAATAAATGAGTAATTATATTAGAACAAAAAAGCTAATGCATATTTGCACGTGTCTTTGTCATGACAGGTTTAACAGCTCAGCATGAATCCCCTTAATTCTAAATTGACAAAGAGGCAAGGGCCGCAGCTCTGTGACCTGCTGGGAGATGTGGATCTGACTCTTCTCTATAAAGCTTCTGTTCATGGATATGAGGCTTCTGCCTTTCATCGGAGATGTGACAACCAGGGTCCCAGCTTACTTGTAGCCTACAACAATTCAGGCTACATCTTTGGTGGATACACTAGTGTAGATTATACTCAAAGTTGCAATGCAGTTACAGATGATAAGGCATTCCTGTTCAACATTAACGGCGCTGTCCCTCTTGTGATCAAAGTGAACAGTAGACATTATCTACGTTATGGTGGTAATGGTGGACCCAGCTTTGGGGAGCAGTTGTATTTTTGCTACAATGACCAACCACCAGTGTATAATCAAGGGAGAAATGCATATCAAGTAATGGCATTCACTATCAGTCCTCCCACAATGGCATTTACTTTCAGTCCTGCCACACTGTATGGAAACAACACTAATCTAATTGAGTGCGAGGTGTTCAAAGTGGAACAGAGTAAGTCAACTATCAGAACAACAAATATTTATTTTCTTTTATACACGCTTGCATCTACAGTACTGCCCTCCAAAGGCAAATTGCAGTAACAACATGTTTAGTCAAATAGGGGGTGATTGTGTGCTTCTACATGATTGCTATCTAAATATGAATTCACTTTGATTTTGGGAATAATTTACAGTTAGGGTTAGGTTTAGGGGTAGGGATTTGGTATGGATTATATTTTCAAACAGGAACGTTGTTCAAGGATCAACAAATGTGTTATTCCAGGCTTGCATCCTACTTGGCAAAATCAACCCCACCTCTTGTGACAAAGTCTACCATTTCAGAGAAATGAAACCGTGTATGTTTGACTGAATGGTGTAAAAAGGGATGGTGTTTTTCTCTGGTTTAGTGTTTGCATAGTTACTGCACTTTCCCTTTTGTAGGACAGAGTACATCTAATTATTTATATTTATGTCCAGTCTTTTAAATGTACTTAATTATGTATTATAAACCTTTCTCAGAAAAAGATCAGGTTAATGCCGTGATTAAGATTAAGCCGTGGAGGAATGTTCAGTGGACAGCAAAGTAAGTTTTAACTCAATATCATGTTGCTGATGATTTCATACAACTATGTATAATATTAATAATAATAATAACAACAACAATATGATTACTCCTTTAGGCAAAGAGATGAGCTCATGAAAATGATCAGGAATTATAAACCCCTGACAACATCTGTGAGTCAGGTCAAAATCCTGATGATTGGTCCTGTTCGTGCTGGAAAATCCAGTTTCTTCAACTCCATAAACTCCATCTTCATGGGTCGCATGACCAGCAAAGCCATGTCAGGATCTGCAGGCACCAGTCTGACCACACAGGTACAGATTTAACAGTTTCCCACAGACATCTCCTGAGTCTCTTTGATATGTTTACTTTCTTGGTTGACAGTTTCGCACTTACCCAATAAAAGATGGTCGTGAAGGAAAGCCATTGCCATTTGTGTTGTGTGACACCATGGGGCTCGAGGAGCAATCAGGAGCAGGACTGGACATTGAGGACATCAGCAGCATTCTTCAAGGACAAATACCAGACCGCTATAAAGTAAGAGCACTTACTGAATCTCCAAAATGAATGAAGAATGAATGAAATGTGAATGATAAAATATAAATGTTCCTGATTCAGTTCAACCCGGTCACCCCATGTCAACCTGATGAGCAAAAGTCCACCAGACCTGCGTCTCTACAGGATAAGATTCACAGTGTGGTGTACGTGATCGACGCCACCAAAATCTCCCTCATGTCTGAGAAACCAGAAGAAAAACTGTCTGCCATACGCAAAAAAATCAACTCGCTGGGTTAGTGAGCTCAGAACTGTTAAACTAGAGACTAATTAGTGTACAACATCAGTATGATACAATGCTTAACATCACTTCTCACAATTTCAGCCATTCCTCAGGTGGTTTTGATGACAAAAGTAGATGAAGCATGTCCTGATGTGCAGGAAAATCTTCAGAGTGTTTACGCCTCTTCCTACATCAAGACAAAGGTGAGAAATTATCACAAGAACCTTTTATATTATACTTATATTAAAAGTTTTTTTCCTCCTAGTATTAGCATGCATTCAGACTGTGAGCACTTGTGTTCAATTTTCATCAAGACCCTGTTTTACGTTTTTACCCCCATGTTGTTCCAATCCCCTGATTGTTGTTTATCTGCTGAATACAAATTAATATATTTTAGATGAAAACCAAGAGCTCTCTCATCCTCCAACAGCAAGAGTCCTTAGATGTTCAAAGTCCAAAAAGGACGCAAAAACTGTAATCATACAATGCTCCAATAGCATTTTTGTGTGCCAAAAAAACTGTCAGTACAACTTTGTTTACTCATCTTCTCTCCCACATCAGGTCTGGGTGCACATTAATATGGGCCAATGTTCAAGTTTCCCTTTCTGAACTTTGAATGTGTCTGAACCATTGCTGTTTGTGGAGGATCAGAGACATATCTTTCATATATATTATCTTATATACAATAATTTGTGTTTCCAAGATGAACAGATTCCTAGGAATGGAATCACTTGAGGGTAATTAATAACCGAGTTTTCATTTTCAGGTGAACTAATACTGTTACAGTCACTAGCAGGTGTGACCATAAGCTTTGCAAGAGGGCACTCACTCCCGCCTTTATCACTACTTCTATCATAGACTACACTCCCCACAATCCTCTGCGCTGATTAGCACCCAGCTTTTTCACAGACTATTTAAGCACCATTGACACTCACAGTCATAGACAAGTCTTGTATTTGCTCTTTGCTTTGTAACTCCCTTGTGTTTTTGACTGTTTGCCACCTGCCCTGACTCCAGCCTGTTTTATGAATTGCTTTCTTACCTTACCTCAGATATTTGTACCTCTGTTAACCCTGTCTGTCTTGATCATCCCCTTTGATAATAAGGTTTCATTTGGATCCTCAATTCTGTCTTCTCCCTTAATGTGTTACAAATACTTTAAACAAACAGAGCCATGTTCTTTTTAGCTTGCTTTCTTACAACATGTCCCATAACAATCAATTATTCATTCAGTAGGTGGAGAGTATGTTGTCTTTCGTTCGCACCTCTGGAAGAGCTGGAAACATTCCAGACCCTCTTTACACCTACATTTTGCCTCATCCCGTTGTGATCTGATTGACTAAGGCCCTGTTTAAGTTTTGCTACAGTTAATGCCATTCGTCCACACTACGCCAGAGTTTTCGAGCGCCGAAAACGGAGCGTTTTGGAAACGCTGGAGAGGCTGTTTTCATTCCGAAATGCTACTGCTCCATGTCAGTGTAGATGAGGGAAAACAGAGACATCTGAAAACGGAGGCGGGGCTGCTGAGATTCGCTACCTGATTGGGGCTTTTGTGTCATTGCGTATCCTTCCCTTATTCGTTAAGGCCCTATCACATGACTATAACACATGGCTTTAACGCTACCGGAAGACAGCAGACCAGCCTTCACTGTAAACAACAACATGGGCACAGAATGGGGAGCGTTGTTCGCACTATTGTCTGTTTTAGGCGCCATTGTGCAGTTATTCATTTGTTACGTTTAGTAATAACTCGACCTCATTGTCTGTCTACAAAAATACCTCTCTTGCTTTCTTTGCCATCGAGTTCATTGTTCAACCGGCATTTGTTGACTAACAATAACCAAATGCCGAGCGAGACACACGCTTCCTGACTATACTAGAACGTGCATGCCCTAGTGCGCGAATGGTCACGTTTTTGGTGGCGTAGTGTGGACAGAGATATGTTCAGAAACGCTAGGTGAAACGCTAGTGTGCACAGAGACAGATTGACAGTTAATAAATCACAGTTCCAGAACCTTCACTCTCTGGTGTAATGAGATGCTGAGAGCAATAGAACTGATCAATTCTATCGTAAGATGTTTTAGATTAAAGCATTTGCTAAATGCTGAATGTGAACTGGTGTTGTGTGTGTGTGTGTGTGCAGGTGCAGGAGGTGAGCTCTCGGTTGGGTGTGCCGGTGTCTTGTGTTTTACCGGTGAAGAACTACAGTCAGGAGCTGGAGCTGGAGCTCAACTGTGATGTCCTGCTTCTCACCGCTCTACAGCAGATGCTCAACTTTGCTGAAGACTACCTGGACGATGTTGCTCCTATGTAGAAGAGATTGTACAAAGGCTGTTACTCTGTTGTGTGTTCATTCTTTCAGAACTGTCTATACTCATACAAGAATATGATAGAAAAGACAAATAAAGTTCTTGTTTTACTTCAGCAGCATGCTAGATTTTAATCATTGCTGCTTAACCTTTGGTTTGAAACTGAATGTGAAGTATTGTTTATTTTCAGCAGATTATTTTGTTGTTGTGCCACTATTAGGCTTACAGTATGAAACTAGAAGGATGTGCTATGACTTTTATAAGGGGTCGGGTTGTTTTTGGAAAAATCCCACCCAAAAATGCATTGACTTAACATTACGGCCAACTTTGACGCAATATAGCACCAAGTGTGAATTTCGTAAAAAAAAAAAGAAAAAATTGTTTACCACATCTATAAGGGTCTGCAGCCTAAACAAGAACACACCTCGAAAGTGCATAAATGTTGTACCCCTGGAGAGCTAGGATGTCCCAAAGTATGCCATAGCCTTAACATTGGCCATTGACCCCATTCATTTCCTAGACTCCCATTCTAACACTAGATTAGATTCTGATTAGATTAGATTCTAGATTCTGACACTAGTGTCATACAGACTTGGGAGATGGCTTATTGGACTCAGTCAACCAATCAGCATCTCAATATGATATTAAAGCTCTCAAGCCAGATTCGATCAAATAAAGATTTGATCAAACATGTAAGCGAGCCTAGCAACCACTTCGAACACCCTAGCAACTGCCTAGAAACACCTTAGCAACCACCCAGCAGCCACTCAGAACACCCTAGCAACTGCCTAGCAACCACTCGGAACACCCTAGCAACTACCTAGCAACCAATTAAAATGCATTGTACCCCAGTGAATTGCCACAGCATATTTTCTTTAGGAAATGTACAGTATAGGTATTATTATTATCATCCTTCAAAGGAAAAAAAATAATACAAATAATAAGTAAAATTATAATAAAAATACAACAACACATCATTTAACACATTTCCTAACAGGTCACTTTAACAAATATTATAAAGACCAGGTTACACTCACTGTTTAAAGGCATGAGTACAATCCATTTCTCACAATATTGCAGGTATTTGTCCATTTGTAGTTTTAAAGAAAAAGTCATCCTTTTCGTATTTTGGACATTAAATAAAGATATCCAATCATTCAGATTTTGTAGGGGGTTCGAGTTGTAGCCATTTACGAGTTACTGTTTTTTTTACTGGTTACTAGAAGCAGTATTTCCCAGGTAAATTGATGTAAAAGAAAAGTCCACTCTATCACCAAAAATATTTCGTATTACCTGCATTACATCCTGCCAGTATGACTGAATGGCTGGGCAACTCCAAAATATGCAGAAAAGGTTTGCTAAGTCTTTCCCACATTTCCTCCAGCAGTCCCCTATCCTTCGCCTGTGTTTGCATGCATGTTAACTTGGGGGTTATAAAGTATCTGGTGAGATTCCTCTTGCAAAAATCCTACCACATGCCAGAGCTGGAAGAAGTCAATAGTATCTGGATGCAGCCTTTATGATCCAAGCTGAGATTGCATCATTCAGCAATGCAATGTCAGACACAATGCACTCAAATGGAGCTAGTGATGTCACTTTGAGGAGTAGGGTTAGGTGAGCCCATTAAAAAGTATTAGATGCAGCCCAGATTGCACTGCACCAGGTCTGCATACAGACCCCTCTCGAAGAAGTGGCGTGTATACTGAGCAGATATTTAACCAATCTTCTTCTGAGATAACTAGGTTGGATTCTTTCTCCCATTTTAGTCTGATGTCATTCGTTGAGTATTCCTTGGTGGATTGGTCTTATAGATGTCATTCATTAATTCATTCATTTTCTTTTCGGCTTGGTCTCTTTATTAATCTGGGGTCGCCACAGTGGAATAAACCGCCAACTTATCCAGCATATGTTTTACACAGCAGATGCCCGTCCAGCTGCAAACCATAACTGGGAAACATTCATACACACTGATTCACTAACATACACTATGGACAATTTAGCCTACCCAAATCACCTGTACCGCACGTCTTTGGACTTGTGGGGAAAAACAAAGCACCTGGAGGAAACCCATGCAAACACGAGGAGAGCATGCAAACTCCACACAGAAATGCCAACTGACCCAGCTAAGGCTTGAACCAGCAACCTTCTTGCTGTAAGGTGATCTTGCTACCCACTGCGCCACCGTGCAGCCCTTCTTATACATGTACTGTAGATGTCAATAACTAAATCAATTAAGTTAGGGGAATGGTTCTGCAAACATCTAATCTCACTTTTAAAGTAGGTACTGGTTTGCAGGTATCGAAATCACATTTGTCCAGAGCGTACCTATCTAAGAATTTCTGAAACCTATCTAATTCCCCATTTGAGAAAATTAAACTAAAAGTAATGATGCCAAGCCTATACCAAACTTGAAATCTCCCATCAATCTTAGCTGGTTTAAAGTCTGGGTGAAATTATATATATGTATATTTACTATTATAAGGGAAAAAGGACTGCCCCTTTAAATTCTCTAGTATTCAGTACCGACGTCACAGCTGTTTAAAAAAATCTAGGAGATGAATGCTTTTATTGAGACTGAACTTTGTGTACCGCCTACTCAAAACGCCAAAGCAAAGAGGCCAGGAACAAACGTGTCTTGGGTTGCAGTCCACAGAAGAAGCAAAAGCATTCCAAATCATCTTCTAAGAAACGTAAGTTGCAAGTTTGTTGATCTAATTGCTGTAATATATAGGCTTATGTACTCCATATATTTTGCTATTAAATATTATTTAAAAAATATTATAAAATATATTTTGTTATCACAAGTAGGTCTACATCAATAACATTTAAAATTGTAAGAACATTTCATGTGTCATTTATAAGTTTTGATGCATTTTGAATATGTAAAGGATTTAAATTGATCATAGTGATTTCAAAATTAAGATTTCATTATTAAACTAAACACTATCAAAATAAATCTGACAATTCTGTATACTTGTTCTGTCACATAATAAAACATGATTTGTATTTTATTTTATTATTCAATTTGGAAAAGGCCCGATTAGAAATTCAAGAAATGCACCGTCTCTGCAGTGCCATGAAAAGTGCACCTTTAGTAGAATGGCCTATTAAAATGCATTTCAGCCAACTAAATTCAACTATAAATGAATTAAAGATTGTTTTTAATTGGTTGAAATTATAAGCTTGCTGTAATTTTCTCATTAGGGACGCTAGCATTCTGAGAAGCCATACCCACACGTTCTACACATTACATGCGTTTAAAATAAAAACTGAAACTAAAATTTTATTTAGAAACCCTTTGTTATAACGTTATATTTTGGTATTTTTTTAATGTGACGTCACACATAGACAAGCAAATGTGGCTAAACCTCAGTGTTTTGTTCTTCCTAATTAAAAAAAATATTCCCAAATATTTAACAAACGTCCACATAAGCCTACGGAAAGCCATATCATGTTTCTGAAGGGGGAGCTACTGATTCGTGCTGTAATCATACTCGTATCAGAAAAAAAAGTCTGAAATGCAAAATGAACAAGTTAAAAATACTGTGGATTTTTTGTGATGTTTAATCTGGGAAAAAATACCAATATGATGTGATTGATTTGAGTTAAATTGACTTCTAAATAAATAAATTGGATCACTCCAGTATAAGATGGTAGATCAAATAAAAATGTTTAAAGGTGCTGTGTGTAAAACATAAAATATCATAACTTGTTAAGTGAACTTGTTTGTCTGGAAAACAATGCCAAAGTCTGTTTTTTTCCTATGAAATGTCCGTTCGCTATCAGAATTTTGGTCTGTAACTCCACCTACTGCCAATTATCTTCATTATATTTTGGCACCCTGGGATTGCCTTGGGGGAAAATGCCTTTATGCTGCAACTTTGCAGCTGCCTGTCGCTCTGGGTGGCGGCCCGCTTTAAACGCTGGTCTATACTGCATGAATACAACCAGCTTCTGAGCGAGAAAAGCGAGAAAATATTCTTGTGAGCTCTACTGATAACTCCTATCGATTGTCACTCAAAAAAGTCTCTCTTAATTTGAGTAAGGGAAAGCTGCAGGCCCGGAGACCCAACTGCACGCTCAGACCTGCGCACACAGAACTGCACTTCCAGACCAGACAGTGCCCCCTGCTGTTGGGTTGGGTGAAGCAGCAGGTACGGAGACCCAACTGCACACTCAAGACCAGCACTTTCTAGCAAGTAGCAACATCAGAAACGCCAGTAAGGTTATTGATTATTAAAGCGATTCCTGAAAATTACCAAGTTTTATGGCATAAATCAATGTGGTGTAAAATATTACACTAACAAAAAATTATTTCAGTGTTTGATTTGTTTAAAATTAGTGTCAAAAGAGCATTATTTTATTATATTTACAGCTTGCACTTATTTTATGTATTATTGTACCATTCTGGGACAATTTTCTAAAAATGTTTTCTGGCAAAATAAAAAAAAACTTTAAAGTAAAAATGTTAAAATAAAATGTAGGCTATAGCACAATTATTAATTGTAACGTATTTTAGTGCTGTATAGGTCTACTGTTCATATTACTGTATTATCTATCTGAAAGTGCTAAGAAAGACAATAGCAGTAACACAATAACAGTTTATCAATTATTTATAAGTTCTGTAATGATTACAAACACGTTTTTTGGAAATCAAAATATCAGTTAATCTGCATAGAATTTACAATATGAGCTCTCTTAGGTGAAATCAAAAATAATTTGCTTGTGGTGTGTATTTTTTCCCAAATTTATATTACATTTAAAAAGTGGGTCTCTGCCAACACTAATACAATGTGCCAAAGACTGCAGATATTTCCAGTTTTTTGCTCTAGTAATAAAAAATCTCCCCAATAAGAATGTAAAGCATTTATGTTATTTTTTGCGTAAAAAATAATTTTTACTCCAATTATTATTTTTCACAATTTTTCTATGCATTGTTTACAACTTGACTTGTAGGACCTCATAAAAAAATACACAAAAATAAAGTTTGTTGTGAGAAAATTACTTGGAGTACTATAATTGTATGTGAAGAAATGTATTGTATATGAAGATAATTCATTCCCTCAACTCAATACGAAACAGTTATAAATCCTCAATAATGAAAAACAACAACAAATGTCTGAAAATATTGAAGTAACTGAACAATATCTTTTTACAAATACAATTAATAAAAATACAACAGAATTAATGCATTTGAATAAAAAATCTAGTATGTTTAATATTTCATATAATAATCTATTCAATCATAGCCTAATATTTTATAGTAGAAAAATTGTTTAAATTACAATTTAGAAGCAGCTGAAATCAGGTTAGTCGATCTTTTAAACAGCAGGTGGCACTGTGAAGATCTGGAAGTGCAGGTCTAGCTGTCTGAGCGAGCAGGTCTCCGGGCCTGCAGCTTCATACTATTGCTTAATTTGCATAAGGTTGAAGGATTCTCAACATTGTCGTCACCTGACACGACCATCAAGTCACCAATGATCGTTGTCATTCGCGTAGATGGAGGTCGCCAGAAGTTGCAGCGGCAAACTCGCAGCATCAATGCGACAATCGGCCGTTTATTTCAATGGAGAGTGAGCGACTTCCAGTGACCTCCATCTATGTAAGCGACAGCGAACATTGGCAACCAGGTGGACGTGTCGCAACCTAGAGCGATAGACAGCTACAAAGTTACTGCTAGTGTGAATGAGACATTTCATTTTAGAGTTGAAAGCTGCCTCAATAAATGAGGACGCTTGCTCCTTTTGGTGTCGATCCGTCAATCTGGCAACCTAGGTTTGCGTTGAGTCATAGGGGTACAGTGAAAATAAAAACTCCAGTGTTTTGAATTTGTACTGCAATGATTAATTTAACCACAAGGTGTCCATCATACACACTACATCTTTAAGCATTTAAATCAGCAATGTAATAAGCCAAATAAACAATTTGAACTTTCCTATGAATGCCGAAGAAGACTGTGAAGAGATTTGTTTTATAACTTTAGTTTTCTTTTGGTACAGATGCAAAAAGCCAAAGTTAGGAAAATCAGCACAGAAACCTTCACTTCTATGTTACCCAAAGAGCGAAAAGATCAGCTCTGTGACTCACTAGGAGATGTGGATCTGACTCTTCTCTATAAGGCTTCCGTTCATGGATATAAAGCTTCTGCATTTCATCAGAGATGTGACCACCAGGGTCCAACTATACTAGTAGCCTACAATCGTTCTGGCTACATATTCGGTGGATACACTAGTGTAGATTACACTCAAAGTGGCCGGGAAATTAAAGATGATGAGGCTTTCCTGTTCAGCTTTCACGGTGGAAACTCTAGCTTCATTAAGGTTAACAGTGGATATAATGCACGTTATGATGATAGTGGAGCACCTAACTTTGGCCATCAGTTATACTTTTGCTACAACAATCAATCATGTGTCCTTTATAAAGGAGAAACAAGTTCTTTCAACATTAATACCTCATCAGTGTATGGCAATGACACTCAGTTGGTGGAATGTGAGGTGTACAAAGTTGAGCAGGGTAAGGCTTTCATTACTGTCATTACCAAATATAATTTACACACAAACTCTTGTAGGAAAAAAGCTTAATGAATTATAAATATAATTTAGTGCAGTTTAAGATTACTATAACAAAACAATATTTTTTTGACAATTACTAGATCCCCAAGTGAGTGTTGAAGAGAAACCATGGCGGAAAGTTCTGTGGACGGCTGAGTATGTTTCATCATTCATTCATTTTATTTTCAGCTAAGTCCCTTTATTAATCTGGGGTCGCCACAGCGGAATGAACTGCCAACTTATGCAGCACATTTTGCGCAGCGGATGCCCTTCCAGCCGCAATCCATCTCTGGGAAACATCCACACTCTCATTCACACTCATACACTATGGACAATTTAGCTTACCTAATTCACCTATACCGCATGTCTTTAGACTTGTGGGGGAAACCGGAGCACCCGGAGGAACCCACACGAACACAGGGAGAACATGCAAACTCCACAGAGAAACGCCAACTGACCCAGCTGAGGCTCGAACCAGCGACCTTCTTGCTGTGAGGCGACAGCACTACCTACTGCGCCACTGCCTCACGAGTATGTTTATAGTTTATGGTTATTTTTTGATATGGTAATTTGTAATAATAAACTTTTTTGTAGACGAAAAGCAGAGCTCATGGGGTTAATCAGAAGTCATAAACCCCTGATTTCATCTGCGAGTCGGGTCAGAATCCTAATGATTGGTCCTGTTGGTGCTGGAAAATCCAGTTTCTTCAACTCCATCAACTCCATCTTTACTGGTCATGTGACCAGCAAAGCCATGTCAGGATCTGCAGGCACCAGTCTAACTGTACAGGTCAGTTCATATGATCAACAGGACTATGGGACATGCTTTGGTTTGTAATATTAAACAATTATTTCACAATTATTCCTATTGTTGGCAGTTTCGCACTTACCCAATAAATGACGGTCGTGAAGGAAAGCCATTGCCATTTGTGTTGTGTGACACCATGGGCCTCGAGGAGCAATCAGGAGCAGGACTGGACATTGAGGACATCAGCAGCATTCTTCAAGGACACATACCAGACCGCTACAAAGTAAGAGCATAAGTTCATTTTTAGGGGCTTGGAAATGTATATTTGTTTGTAAAGTTTGGTAATCTTTTGTTTAATCTATTCTTAATTCAGTTCAACCCTGCAGCACCATTTCAACCTGATGAGCAAAAGTCCTCCAGACCTGCGTCTCTACAGGAGAAGATCCACTGTGTGGTGTACGTGATCGACGCCACCAAAATCTCCCTCATGTCTGAGAAACTAGAGGAAAAACTGTCTGCCATACGCAGAAAAGTCAACTCACTGGGTGAGCAAGCATATTTATGCTACTTTTGTGACTAATATGTAGGTTATACACAAAGCTACTTGACAGAGATGTACTTTAAAATGTATCGCGATGATTTCAGGCATTGCACAGATTGTCTTGATGACAAAAGTTGATGAAGCTTGTCCTCTAGTGGATGAAGACCTTGAAAATGTTTATCTTAGTTCCTACATCAAGACGAAAGTAAGACAATCTGATCATATGAACTCTCCAATCAGCACTCAGAGTGGCTTTTTCTTTCTTTAAACTCTCCAAAATTAATTTCCAGAACCTTCACTCTCTCTGCTCCTCTCTGGTGAAACAAGCCGCTGAGAGCATCAATTATATCGTAAGATGTTTAAGATTAAAGCATCTGCTAAAGTGTGAATGTGAGCTGGTGTTGTGTGTGTTCAGGTGCAGGAGGTGAGCTCTCGGTTGGGTGTGCCGGTGTCTTGTGTTTTACCGGTGAAGAACTACAGTCAGGAGCTAGAGCTGGAGCTCAACTGTGACGTCCTGCTTCTCACCGCTCTACAGCAGATGCTTCGTTTTGCAGATGATTATTTCGATGATATACAACAACCTGTGGAGGGCAAGCCTGTCTGAAGCTTTTTCTCATTTCTTGTGGCTGAACTGCAAAAAGGTCCAATTAAAAGATATGCAAATCATTTACACAGCATAAAAGCGGCTAAATACAAATGTACTTAAATTGCATGAAAGTTTGACATTTCAATAAAACCTTATCATTCACATTCAAGAGAAACCTGATTTGAACATAGCACCCTGATGAAAATGCTAACACAGTCTCCACTTGCTGACATACTAGTAAGATGCACATAAGAATACTATTAGGCAGGAAGATGATACCATTTTTTATCGACTTTGTTGGGCATGTGGTGCGCCCATCTGTCACCTTAATCCATTTTCATATGTGTAAAGTCAGCGCACAAGGGGTATTTTAATGTCTCTGTGCTTAACCTCTGCTATGACGTCTCAGGCAATGTATCACAGAAGTAATTATAATGGCCGATCTTTTTTTTTTACACAACACAGAAGAGACGCAAAAGACTAGTTACATTGATCCGGGTGACGGCAACAATGTAAGTAGCCTTTCGTGTCTTATCTGCACAAATAAAGATCAACTGTGGTCACTAAGAGAATATTGGCTCACTAAAATACTAGTTTGTTGCTAGAAATGCCATAACACAAAATGCAGCACTTCAATACAGCATATATATTTTATAAAAAGGTATCAAAAGGATCCTGCAAAATCCGAGCAGAAGAAGGTACCTGCTGTGACAGAAATAAATAACATTGAAATAACATTGGTTAGTAGGAAGGGAAAATACAATGAAGTGATCTCTAAAAATAGGTACTTTTTAACTGCAAATAAAATTGTGAGGAATAAAAAGTCATTTTTAATTAAAGTAGTTAAAGTGGTAATTTTTAATTGGACTCAAATAAAGTACAAATACTCCCCAAATAATACTTAAGTAGCTACATTAATCAAATAAAATTTATTCAAGTACTTTATACCTCTCTCATGATAATGATGATTCATTCATTTTCTTGTCGGCTTTGTCCCTTTATTAATCTGGGGTCGCCACAGCGGAATGAATCGCCAACTTATCCAGCAAGTTTTTACGCAGCGGATGCCCTTTCAGCCGCAACCTATCTCTGGGAAACATTCACACACATTCACACACCCACACACTCATACACTACGGACAATTTAGCTTACCCAATTCACCTGTACCGCATGTCTTTGAACTGTGGGAGAAGCCGGAGCACCCGGAGGAAACCCACACGAACGCAGGGAGAACATGCAAACTCCACACAGAAACGCCAACTGAGCCAAGGCTCGAACCAGCGACCTTCTTGCTGTTAGGCGACAGCACTGCACCACTGCTTCGCCCAATAATGATGATGATGATTACTATTATTATTATTATCAAATGCAGTTTTAATCTGGTTTAAACAAACATTGAAATGTTTTTATGTTTTAAAAGCTCATTGCAGATGTGACTATATTTTTAGTGAATTCATATTGTAAAACGTTTCTCAATGTAATATGTATTAAATTATGAGCTCAATATTTTATTGTGCTTTGAGAAAATGATCACATCTTAAACATTATATTGACATAATAATGCTATAATTATTACAATGTGTGCAGTTATTATATTACATGCAATTACATTATTAAACAGAAATTGGGGGCAAAAATAAACTGGGAGGGAGGGGGGGCGCTAATAATTCAGACTTCAACTGTATTTGTTTTTCCTACTATGCATATTATGTTTACAGGTATTTTATTTTGAGATTGAGTAAATAGGCTGTACATTTTCATTTTGGTGTGACGTAACTCTCCCTTTAAGAGAGCATACTTAAGGGCTGGATTTGAAAAGAAGAAAGGAAGGATTCATCCAAAGTAAAACGCAACCTTCGTTTTGAGACGCACCCATTGAAAAGGGTAAGCAGCTTGGTCGATATGATAAAATAATTAAATTTTCTACGCCTATGTAATTGTTATAGTCAAAAAACAACGGTTTCAGATGTGAAATGACATTTTCTGATCCAATCTGTGACAGTTTCGGTTTCGATTCGAGTGAATGCCGTTTTTACTCCAAAACTGCGTCTATCTTAGCTCACCCTAAATAGATTTTATCGCTTAGAGCTTGATGGTTTTTGATGATTTCCTGACCTTGATGTCAACATGCTCTAAAACTGTCCAGGGCTGCGTTTCCCAAAAGCATCGTTAGGTTAGGTAGCTAGATCTTAATAATACTCGTGTGACTGATCTTAATGTTTCGGCCTGTTTCCAAAAACACGGCAATTTATTAGCTCCTGTGTTGTAATTGTTAAAGTCATAAAAAGACGAAGTTATGAGATTACTGTAGCTGTAGATTCATTCAACTGCAGTCATATAAAAAATCCGCCATATGGCTATCAATATTTTAAAACTAAACATGAACATATATAACATTGAATATATTATTCCAATGTTTGGAAAAAATGTATGTAAACCGTAATTTGTGCGAAATTTTTTAAATATATGCTGCATATGTAAACTCTAATCATATGTAGGCTAATTTATTTTGCTACACTGTAAAAAGTGATTAGTTACTTAAAGCGAGTAAACAAACTGCCTTAAAAGAAATAATTGTTGACTTTACAAAAATAATGTAAGTAAACCCATTGTAACTTGGAACTGTTAAGTTGACTTAATTTCGATTATTATGCAAGTTGTATTCACTTTTTTAAAAATAAAAGTAAACTAATCACTTTTTCCAATACACATTTATTTTATTTTTTTTTCAGCTTTTCTTTGTCTAGCAAAATGACAGTAACTAAAATAAATTTGCTCTTCAGACTCCAGTATGTCTTCTAAATTCAAAACAGGCCATAATTGTAGATTTTATAGACTTAATGAAGCACCAATTATGTAATATTGTAATAACTGCAGTAATTATTTAAAGAGAGCCATTGTAAAATAGTTTGTCATTGTAAAAAGGATTTGTTGACTTTAAAAGTGAGTACAATAAGCATAGTTATAAAAATTAAGTCAGCTTAATGGTTCCAAGTTACAATAGGTTTACTAACATTATTTTTGTAAAGTCAACTTGTTGCTTTTAAGGCAATTGGTTTACTCACTTTAAGTAACTAATTACTTTTTACAGTGTGTATAGGCTATCAAATAGTAGCATACACCAGTGGTTCTCAAAGTGGGGGTCGGGACCCCCCGAGGGGTCGCGGGACAATGAAGGGACAAAAATCGATTTATTTTTATTAAACCATAACAATTACCATTTTAATCCATAACCTATTAAAAAATGTCGTTTACAGTTACTATATACACTACTGTATATAGGTACTATAGTAGCTTATAGTTACTAGTTCTATTGGATTGCGACCCCTCAGGTAATTACATTATATTAAAGACTCCGCAATAGTGTCAGATGCAGCAGATTGATTTTATAATACCAGGTTAAACTTTCTGGCACATTTACAGCACTGACATACATTAAAAAATATAACGAAGAATAGACTTGGGTTCATTGGTGTGTGTGTGCCCCATTGCATAGGTTTCTGTATTTATTACCACCTCAGAGGATATTGGGGGTCGCAAGTTACTGGCATTGTTATTTTGGGGGTCGCGAGCTGAAAAGTTTGGGAACCCCTGGCATACACTGTAAAAAATGGGGTCCACATAATTTATTTATTTTGTCTCAACACAAATCCTTTTCTAATATGAATAGATTGAACGTAAAAAAATTAAGAGTCCCCAAAACTGTGTTGTTTCAGCAACTTTTAAATTATGTGCAAATTTTAAGTAGTTTGGACATCGAGCAAAAATATTTTTTAAGAGTGTAGGCTTTATGAACTTTGTGATTACTCCATTAATTTAATTTATAAATGAAACAAAAACAAACTGACACAAAATTCACATTTAAATTAAATGGCTGAATTAAAAAAGGAATACAGTTTTCTTTTGAAATTAAATTGACTGAGCTTGAAAGACATAGAAAAATGTGCAAATGGGTGAACTTGTCAGTGACATGCTCGAAACCCATGATGCATGTATTAGGCATTACTTATGGATAACTTAATGTTCTATAACCTTTTTTTTTTTCCTACCGTTTTGTGCCTCTCTCTGCAGGTTGGTTCTTTATATAGATTTGTTTTGATTGTTAATCCATTAGAATTATTAATGGGTTAAATGTTAAAATATTATAACACGTTGGAAATGAACAGCGACTCATAAGTAGCGTGCAGCAACAGTTCTTGACACCATCATGTTTTGAGCATTTTTTTGGGAAAGGCCTATATAGCTGCAACGAGCGTTCGCAACCACTTATGGAATGAGCCATAGTACAAAAAGTTATCAAGGCTATAAGGCTATAAGGCTGAACAGTTAAGTTTGGTGGACATATGATTGTGACCAAGTCATCTAACATGCCAGCTATATAAAATCTATATCTTTTACAATATACAATCTGAAATATACAATCTTTAAATTCCATATATACTTTTTGTTATGCATTGTTAGGAGATTTAAAGTGCTGCACAGTACAGTGTACATGTGTTTGCACTGGCAGAACCTTGGAAACCCCATAAGGCAAAATAACCCAAATATAATTCTTTTACATCTCTTCTGCATTGGCAAAAGCAAAGCGACCTTGCCATGCCCTAACCATTCTTTACAGCAATAATATGACTTATATTTACATATCAATCCATCCTGCATGACGTCAGTATGACAGTTTTGACCACTGTGGTTCAAACGAAACAGTCGTAACTATCAAGTTAGTTCTATAATGCATCGGTCAGTTAGCCATTGGCAGCATCAGAGATTTACCTCATTGTTTGAGAAACGCAGTCATCCTCCAATTATCCAGTACCTGATTGGCTATGCAATTCCTGCAAATCCTAAATAAACTAATTGAGATGCCCTCATGCCTTAAATAATGTGGCAGATTTTTTCAAAATAATTTGTAATCTAATCTATGAGCCTGTAATAATGTGTGGTCCTCTTTGTCAATATAATAATAGTGTTTTTTTAAGGTTGTAAAACCACAGAACACAGTTAAAATTAAGCACACTAGAAATAAAATGACAAGTGTTATTTCCGTTACAGCCATATTACATGTGGACGAGACATGGCCCCCATTGCTTCCGATTTACCAGCAGAACAAAGAGAGCAGCTCTGTGGCCTGCTGGGAAATGTGGATCTGACTCTTCTCTATAAAGCTTCAGTTCATGGATATGAAGCGTCTGCCTTCCACCAGAGATGTGACAATCAGGGTGCCACTTTACTTGTAGCCTACAACAATTCAGGTGACATCTTTGGTGGATACACTAGTGTAGATTACACTCAAAGTGGCAAGGAAATTGCAGATAAGGAAGCTTTCCTGTTCAGCTTTCGAAGTGGAAATCTTCTATGCATCAAAGTTAAAAGTGGATATAATGCACGTTGTGATGATGCTGGAATGCCCAACTTTGGTCAGCAGTTATATTTTTGCTACAACAATCAACCAGTTGTAATATACCAGCACAAGGATTGCTATAGGCAATTTATTTTTAATCCTGACACTTTGTATGGGAACAACAATCAGCTGACTGAATGTGAAGTGTACCAAATCAAGCAGAGTAAGTGCTTCTTCAGGAGAAAAAGTGTTTATATTTTGAGTAAACTCTCGTGAAATGTATTGTTTAGTATTAATATTGCAACAACAAATTATATAATAATCTTTCAAAATTCTACAGCCCTTCAGGTCAGCTTCAAAGAGAAGCCATGGAGGAATATTCTTTGGACAGCTGAGTATGTTTCTACTCCATGTCCGGTGCTTCCAGCATTGTTTGAATTTCCATCCAGTTTGTTGGGTTTGAATCTGATGGTGCAGGTCAAAATTGTGACTTTCTGTTATGTTTTGAAAAATATGGGCATTTTGTAGTCAAATTGGTTACATAAAAATGTGAATGCACTCTAATCCAATCATCATCACATTTCTAAACACACTTCCACTTCAGGGGGTGTTAGACACCAATAAAACAACTGTTTAAGCTAGATCAGCTAGCTTAAACTGTCAAATGTTATGATGATGCATTTTACATCGAATAGATTCTGAACTTCTAGCTGTAAATACAAGTGATTGCTAAGCCAAGATGTAGCTACAATAAAGTGAGGGCCCCAGAATAGATCTCAAACAATGGATTGTTCAGGTGAGTTAAGTTGCACACAGAGGTAGGACCATAATTGTTATAGTTGGTAAATGAAAAAGACTTTTTTGTCTGTTTGTGCATGAGCATGTTAGGCTAATTTTGTCTCCTATTTTAATCACTAACTGGACTGGATTATTTTTGTCGATTTCTACCTGTTTGGTTTGGCATACATGTACACTTACTAGTCTTACTAGCTCACTAGCTACTCTTTTAATGATGAGTAGCAGGCCTTTCAAGGACTGGAATTGAAACGATGCCACCTTATATAAAGCATGCATCGGTCTTGTCCTAATACTCGCATCTACAATCTTTGCATTTGATTAATTGTGTATATACATAACATGCCAAAAGAGCATTGCAATAGTCCATTGTGGATAGAATAGCAAAAACATGTGCATCCTGCTCCGATAGGTAGGCCATATTGTTCCTAATGCTGTATAAAGGCTGGGGCGGATCAAACTGTTGGGCAGTGTTGGGCCATTGGTGAGTGTCTGTCAGTCTAGATTGACATGGACACATACCTCTCAAAAAAATGTAATCACACATTGCAATGAGAACCATGGAAGCAGAGCGAGACTGGTCATTTGAGTATTAATCAAGTGGTGAGTCCTGTGGAGCTCCGAATGATATAGTTGTTGAATGTTCCACCAGTTCCCACCTCGTTCTTTCTTGAATGAGAGTGATTGAGCTAACCAAAGCACCGATAAACAACCTTGACACGGTGGGACAGAGAAAGCTCACTGTATACTGGAGTTTTGGAAGTGTTATTGCTAAGCAACACAGTTAGAATAAATAAGTATGAATGCTCACACAATTGCATTAACTATGTGCAAGGAGCTCTGGAGAACTATCGAGTCAATCGATACAGAAGTACAAATCAGCCTCAAGATGACAAGAGGTAAAGGAGCTATTTCTATATATTTTTTATTAATTATGTATGTATTTATTTACTTATTTCTTGTCTTTTCTTTCCTTTTGAGAGCGAGAGAGAGTTTGTGCCACCTGCAGGTCAAATGTTCTATAAAGTTGAAGGTGACTTGAGGTGTTGCTGACTAGGAGTGCACAGCTTTTTGACCTTGAGCCGTTCTTTTTGTTTTCCCGTCCAATTTATGAGTGTATATTTACCTAAATAATGATCTATTATTGTTTTTTTTTGTTTCTGCTGAACCATAAACCCGTTCCTCCTTTTCTGATCATACATCATCTCTCCTTTTTTTTTTGTTATTTACAATCAAGCGTCAAAAGATTCTCCAGTTACCACCACATAGGACGAGCAAAGGAAATTTAAAACGCAGGATAAATTGCCATTATATGAGGGTTGACATGGGCTGGTTGACTTGGTCAAATGCAATGGACATATCCATCAAGATGACTACTGATGATGTGGAAATGTGATGCATGATGGAATTTACTTAGCTTCAAAGAACTCTCTGGCAGGGAATGTTTTGGTGGAACTTTCTGGTATTGTGCAGGTTTTTGAGTACATTTAGCAACACTGTATATGTTTCCAGTGTTATTTCAAGTGGTGCTGCTTTTATAGAGTTACTTCCAATAATGTAGCTGTGATCTATGTCTAGACGAAGGGAAGAGCTGATGGGATTCTTTAGGAGTCACAAACCCCTGCTATCATCTGTGAACCGGGTCAGAATCCTAATGCTCGGCCCTGTTGGTGCTGGAAAATCCAGTTTCTTCAACTCCATCAACTCCATCTTCATGGGATACGTGACCAGCAAAGCCATGTCAGGATCTGCTAAATCTAGTGTCACCACACAGGTACAAATTTAACTGTGTTTCCTACTAAAGCCTCCTATCAGTTTAAGCTCTTGATATGTTTCTCTTTTTGGTTGACAGTTTCGTATGTACCCAGTGAAAGATGGTCATGAGAGAAAGCCATTGCCGTTTGTGTTGTGTGACACCATGGGCCTCGAGGAGCAATCAGGAGCAGGACTGGATATTAAAGACATCAGTAGCATTCTTCAAGGACACATACCAGACCGCTATAGAGTAAGTGCAATTGCTTATCTCTAGTTAGAATTAGTTGATGTATGAATTGAAGATTCAGATTGAAGTTCTTTTATTCAGTTCAATCCAGTCACACCATTTCAACCTGATGAGCAAAAGTCCTCCAGACCTGCGTCTCTCCTGGAGAAGATCCACTGTGTGGTGTACGTGATCGACGCCACCAAAATCTCCCTCATGTCTGAGAAACTAGAGGAAAAACTTACTTCTGTACGTTGTCTAATCAACTCACTTGGTAAGTTAATTAATACAATATTTAGACCAATATGCATAACTCCTGACATAAGCCAAATGTAAACCTGTTTCCATTTTTTTCAAACAATTTCAGCCATTCCACAAATGGTTGTGATGACAAAAGTCGATGAAGCTTGTCCTCATGTGCAGAAAGACCTTCAAAACGTTTATGCCAGTTCCTACACCAAGATGAAGGTGAGATGCATCCCATGATCAGATCATGACCTGCTCTCTTTAGGACTCAGAGTGACAGATGATGTTGTGTGTGTGTGTGCAGGTGCAGGAGGTGAGCTCTCGGTTGGGTGTGCCGGTGTCTTGTGTTTTACCAGTGAAGAACTACAGTCAGGAGATCGAGCTGGATCTCAACTGTGACGTCCTGCTTCTCAGTGCTCTACACCAGATGCTTCGATTAGCAGATGATTATCTGGATGATGTTGATTCCTTTTAGGCCATAGAAAGCTCATCATAGAATGATAGATACAGGGTTATACAGTACAGTTGGTCAGAATTATTAGCCCCCCTGTTTATTTTTTCTTCCAATTTCTGTTTAACAGAGGAAAGATTTTTCAACACATTTCTAAACATATTAGTTTTAATAACTAAAAAAATTGTTTATTTTATCTTTGCCATGTTGACAGGAAATAATATTTGTCTAGATATTTATCAAGACACTTCTATACAGCTTAAAGTGACATTTATAGGCTAACTGCATTAATTAGGTTAACTAGGCAGGTTAGGGTAATTAGGCAAGTTATTGTATAACAATGGTTTGTTCTGTAGATTATCGAAAAAAAATAGCTTAAAGGAGCTAATAATTTTTACCTTAAATTGGTTTTAAAAAATTAAAAACTACTTTTATTCTAGCCGAAATAAAACAAATAAGACTTTTTCCAGACGAAAAAATATGATCAGACACACTGTGAAAATGTCCTTGCTCTGTTAGACATCGTTTGGTAAAAATTAAATAAAAGAAAAATAAATGTGTGGGGGGGGGGGGGGGGGGGTATGGGGGGTAATCATTTTGACTTCAATTGTACCTCTTAATTATCACAATGGTTCAATTCAAAAGATAGCTATTCTGTTTGTTTTTTAATACAAAGTATCATTCACAAGATCTTTCACAGTTATACCTAATATACATTTAGATAATAATGGTAAATGTCCCTATGTCATAATAAAGATCATATTTTGTTAAGCTGCGCATAACGTTATAGTTACTGTTACTTTTGTTGTTGCAAAATTTTCCACAATCATGTGTACAGTATAGCACTAAATTTATGTGTAATGACTGCACATTAAGAGAAACACTGATGTTGATTATAAGTGTTATAATCTATGTGAATCAAACCATAGGAGTTTCTGAGGTTTTTTTTGTTATGTAAACAAAATGTTACTCATTTTCCTGTACACTAAAAGAAAAAAAGATTCTTCAAAATTTATTTGTTACAAATTAAACTATTAAAACAGTCTCAGTAATCTTTTGTTGAAGTCGGTTTACACACGCAAAAAAAGAAATTAATATAGTTTTTGTTTTTTACAGAAATTTCATCACATCATCATGAATTTCATGATGGCATTGGAATTAAAAAAAAACTTTGAATGATTTTATATTCACGCCACACCACTATAGTGTAACTAGTCTTTGGGGTCTCTTCTACACTGTGTAAATAATTATCGACTTTTATATTTCTTGTAGTGATTTATTGTCTGTGAAAAACAGCCAGAACAAAAAAGAGCGCAGAGACCTTCAACCAGCCCTTATGCACTGGCTGAATTTATACTTATCAAGATGATTTTTCTTTTAAGGTAACAGAGGGGGCGCTTTACATGTATAACAATAAACAAATGTTAACCCATTCCTTCCCAATACTATTTAATGTGTGCACGTGGAGAGATTCAATACAACCCTGTTACATCAGCACGATATAAAGTATTTAATAATATATATTTTAAACCCAGCAATTTTGATTCTGTACATTTTCGCTTAGTTCTTGTTTAGCTTTAGGAGTTACAATCTATATAGGCTATACAATAATATATTTTAAGAAACCACATTGTAAGAATTCTGGCATTTCATACATATAATTTAATATCATACTCATGAGCTCTTCTTTGAAGTGGGAACGCTTCTGGGGGAAGAGATAGTCTGCATTAAAGGGGGCACACACATTAAAATTTACTTACACTTGTTAAAAACCTTTATGAGTTTCTTCTGTTGAACACAAAATCAGATATTTTGGAAAAAAGCTAAAAAAAAATATCTAACAATTGAGGGACTTCTATAGATGAAAAAGGAGATTACGCTTTAAATCATTTTTCACAATATCTTCTGTTGTGTTCAACAGAAGAAGAACACTCAAAAAGGTTTGAAACAAGAGTAATCACGAAAGAACTTCCAGTTTGGGGTGCACTATCCCTTTAAAAAGACCTGTCATTGATAAAATGGTGAGCATTTATATATTTATATTTATATAGGCCTATAAAATATCTTAAATTTCATAGGTGAGCATTTATATAAAACACGTTTCGGCAACACGCCCCCTATTGTTGTTAGGTGAACAATAGCTCAGCCCTCAAACTGAGTAGGGGGAGGCTGCAGACTTGGATCAAGACAGATCTACGGCCCAAGCAGTTTTACGGCCCAGGCAGTTTTACGCCCCTGTTGTTCCTGTTGTGTCCAGTAGAGGGAGGCAGTACAGTGTTATTTTAAGCCTCCAGAACTTTATCTCACCCAACCAAACGCGACACGATGAAGAGGTATCTATGTTAAATACGTGTTTAAAACATGAAACTTATATGTCAACACAAACAAATTGGTGTAATATAATAGCAATGTGTTAGTTTGACTCAATTTTAGGTAACTATGTGCAGGCAAGCTACATGTTCTACATCAACAAAAGAGTAAAATAACATTAACCTACATAAGAAAGTGTGTTATGTAGGCTAATTTTCTTTTACCTTTTTGTCTCAGCAAGGGAGTAATTATTATATATTTTATAATTATTTAAAGATATATATTTTCTCATAGATTAGACAATACACTTACATGGTCTGGGTTGTCAGCCAAATCTACACTCCAACTACACTACATTATTCCTCGAAATTTGACTTTCTTAAATATTGAAATAAATGTAAACAGGTCTGAAAATGTAATTGATTTTATTTTAAATTTTAAAATTGCATTACTTTCAATTACAATCAATGTAATGCAATCCTGTTCTAATTTAAACAATTAAACTATCATGTATCTATAAATGCATAAAGAAACTCGCAATTATAAATGGTCTACTCATTTTTGTTCTTATAGCTATACAATGCATTTTATATATTACCAATGAAGTTTGAATTGCACATGCAATCATATTGTTTATCCCTTATTGTTTCATTATATTTATTGTAACAATACCTCTGCATTCTTATCAAAGCACATCATTACTCCAAATTACACTGTATTGTTTGGTAATAATTTTGTTATTTTCAAAATGCAAATTTATATATGAACAATACAACAAATGCATATCTCTATATGAAAACGTATAGCTTGGCAACAATTAACCATTACACTATCCAACAACTTGTGTTTCTAATTTTTCTAATTAAATTAATCTAAATTAATTTGCAATTGGGCTTTTGCATATCTGGAATTGTTTGGTGAGTGTATCAATTCTGCATATTACATAGTGAGTTTATAACTCACTTTATGATACATTAACTTAGCGTTCATATTTAGCGTAATCTAATTTAAAATATACATTTATGAACAGGACATTTAATAATCTGGTAGCGTTGACTTTAAATATATTATGTGGCCATGTATCTTTCATCTCTCCCTACTGGACACATTAGGAACAACAGGGCCGTAAAGCTGTGGAGCGTAAAACTGCCTGGGCCGTAAAACTGCCTGGATCCAAGTCTGCAGAGGCCCATATAGCTCAAACTCACACGATTGGTTACGTCACTTTGTCAGTTAAATTGAGTCATTCTCTGCTATGACTTTACTGCATAAGTGCACAAATAAAAACAACATGTTGTTGTTGACTTGCTGGCTAGCCTCGTTGTCTCAGAAAAAGTCCCTAAATTGTGGCAGGTACAGTTGGGCTTTCTGTGTGTAGTTTTGGATGTTCCCCAGTACTAATCCAGGTACTGGTTTTCTCACACAGAGCCAAAAACACACAAGCTAGGTGAACCAAAAATTTTAGCCCTTCCCCTGCTTGGCTATTTGTGTATCGGATTACCTGCTTCTTGCCATAAATATAGGTATATGCTATATGCAGTATGACGACCCTGTATTTTTACCATTTACCATTTTAATCATCACACATGGCTGAAGGCTAGCAAAACCATTAGCCCAGATACGAAAGCAGGAGGAAGAGGGTTGTTCACACAGCTCACAGGTAATTCTGTTGTTCAAACTGGTAATGCTATGTAAATCTCTAACATAACACGCAATCATAAATGCTAATGCTAAAATATTCCTGTATATCAGGATAGAGCTTGATGGAAAACAGGTTTGACTTGGGTGTAACATTCAACAAGTGAAACATTCAGTGTTACTTTCACACAGCATTTCTCTACGGAACTTAAGGTAAGTCACAAATAATAATATTCTTTTATTTTCCATAGAAATATTCTGATCTGTAGAGCACTTTTTATACATAAATGCTGTAAAATCAATTCGTTTAACTCTGCAGGGAATTCACCAAAACAATGTATAAAAGAAAGCAAGTACAAATAATAATTAAGTAAATACAATTACACAAGGAACAAGTCATAAACAGCCTTCTTTTTACTTTTTTTTTTTTAAAGTAATGCCGCATAAATAGGTACCTATGTTGATCTTGATTAATCTGTGTTGTACTTAATGATATGTTGAGGTTATAAGCCACTTTAGCTTAATTTTATATGAGATTTTGACATTTTAAAACTCCAAATATTATTTAAAGCCCTGGTCTATATTGTCTTTCAATGCACATTAAGTAACATCAACCTTCTGTCTTGTACATATTACCGTATTGTTTTTGACACAGAACTAAGGTAATGTTTATATTAAGTTTTCTTACAATATATTGGGTAAATAATTCAATAACAGCCTAATGAATAGATTATAGCACATTTAAACATGACATTTAGAGAAAATATTAAGCTCAAGTCTACATTGTATTTGCAGGTCTTCATCTTCAAGCATGAATAAACACAAAGTCAGAGATGTCACTGTGAACACCCTGACTTCTAACTTGCCAGAAGACAAAAGGAAGCAGCTCTGTGCTTTGCTTGGCGATGTGGATCTGACTCTTCTCTATAAGGCTTCTGTTCATGGATATAACGCTTCTGCCTTTCATCAGAGATGTGACCGTCAGGGTCCAACTTTACTTGTCGCCTACAACAGTTCAGGCTACATCTTTGGTGGATACACTAGTGTAGATTTCACTCAAAGCGGGCAGTATATTGCTGATGAGGACATATTCTTATTCTGCTTTCAGGGCAAGATCCCTGTGTGTATGAAACTTAACAGTGGGTATAATGCTCGTCTTGATGACACTGGCGTACCCAGCTTTGGCCAACAGTTGTACTTTTGCTACAACAACCAACCAATGGTGTATAATCAAGGTGTGAGTGCATTTACTGTTAACACTGCAATAATGTATGGGAACGACACTCAGCTGAGTGAATGTGAGGTGTACAAAGTGGAGCAGAGTAAGTCAATCATTAGAAAGTGTGTTTGTATATGCACATCTAGTCATGTACAAGTATCAGATTTTAATTAAACTCAATTCTTCAATTATGTGCCAGGCACCCAAGTCAAATTTGAGGTGAAACCTTGGAGGAGTGTTCTGTGGACAGCTGAGTATGTTTCCAATCTGGGTTTGCTCATTTCCTTCTGTATTTTCACATGTAGTTATTGAATGCAATCTGTATTGCAGACGAAGAGAGGAGCTCATGGAAATGATCAGGAATTATAAACCCCTGACATCTTCTGTCAGCCATATTCGAATCCTGATGATTGGTCCTGTTGGTGCTGGAAAATCCAGTTTCTTCAACTCTATAAACTCCATCTTTATGGGTCGCATAACCAGCAAAGCCATGTCAGGATCTGCAGGCACCAGTCTGACCACACAGGTACAGATTTAACAGTTTCCTACAGACGACTCCTGAGTCTCTTTGATATGCTTACTTTCTTGGTTGACAGTTTCGCACTTACCCAATAAAAGACGGTCGTGAAGGAAAGCCATTGCCGTTTGTGTTGTGTGACACCATGGGCCTCGAGGAGCAATCAGGAGCAGGACTGGACATTGAGGACATCAGCAGCATTCTTCAAGGACAAATACCAGACCGCTATAAAGTAAGAGAACTTACTGAATCTCCAAAATGAATGAAGGCTGAAGTGTGAATGCTAAAATATAAATCCTGCTGATTCAGTTCAATCCCGTCACATCGTTTCAACCTGATGAGCAAAAGTCCTCCAGACCTGCGTCTCTACAGGAGAAGATCCACTGTGTGGTGTACGTGATCGACGCCACCAAAATCTCCCTCATGTCTGAGAAACTAGAGGAAAAACTGTCTGCCATACGCAGAAAAGTCAACTCACTGGGTTAGTGAACATTTATGCATATCTTGTGACCAATCAAAGGTAAATTGAAGTAAACGATATACATAAGTCATCATGCCTCAAACTATTTCAGGCATTGCTCAGATTGTCTTGATGACAAAAGTAGATGAAGCTTGTCCACTAGTGGATGAAGACCTACAAAGCCTTTACCTCAGTTCCTACATCAAGACGAAGGTGAGACATCATGATCATATGAACTGTTCTTATTTCTGTACAAGCACTTTCCAGAACCTTCACCCTCTCTGCTCCTCTCTGGTGAAAAAACTTACCATAATCAGAATTCTTCAAGCCTTAAAAACCCTATAATCATAAACCAAAGCATCAGATAGTTTGTTTCCTAATCTATCTTTGTAGTCACTGATGCTCCTGCTAAAGCCTGAATGTGAGCTGGTGTTGTGTGTGTGTGTTCAGGTGCAGGAGGTGAGCTCTCGGTTGGGTGTGCCGGTGTCTTGTGTTTTACCGGTGAAGAACTACAGTCAGGAGCTGGAGCTGGAGCTGAACTGTGATGTCCTGCTTCTCACCGCTCTACAGCAGATGCTCAACTTCGCTGAAGACTATCTGGATGATGTTGCTCCTAAATAAAGAAAAGCTGTTTTTATTTTCTCAATACTTTGTGCTATATATGATTTAATCTTGAGACTAAAAAAGTCATGAAAATATGCAGAATAGTGCTACCTTGTCAGTAGTGAATTTTCATGCAGTTTATAGTATATTATTTTCCTTGGTATGCATTTATACTAGTTAAACCACCTATCAACTTTAAAATTGGCCAATGGTGAGTTTGTGGTACAAACAGTAGGATTTATAAAATTTTCTCGGTTAACAAGAAAACAAATTTCTTTAGAATATATTGAAACTTTCAACACATACCTTTTACATATAGAGCCTTATAGCTATTAAATAAACTGAGTAAGGTACTTATTGACTGTGGGTGTTATTTCTTCTGTTTGTTGTTGTTTTTGTTTGTGTGAAAGTGTGCTGGACTTCCTTCAAAGCGGAATATTGATATTTTAATAAATACCTGAATCAGAATATTTAAGAACTCTGTGTACATTCACACTGTGGAATGTTTATAGTCCAGTATCACAAGTGCCAAATTCGTTATGATGAAAGTAAATTTGTTAATGATGATGTAGAGGAATTAAGCTGCATATAAAATCTTATAATAAACTGGAAATTAAAGTAAAACTTGCATCTGAGAAAAACAAGACTGGGCCATCCAATCAGAAAGAGGTTTTAGATAGAATAAATCATTATGGAAAATGTAAAAGAAAGAGTTGATTTTACAAATGGAGTCTATACTATAAATTAAATGATTTCTTTGTTTTATTACATTGAAACATGTTCCTCCAAAATTAAACCACAAACCTTAAAAACAGAAGCAGAAGGTTGCTAACCATTTCCAGTAAAAGGCGGGAGAATTTTCATATGTTATCATGAATTGCCTAATTATTATTCTCTCCACACACTCACACACACACACACACACACACACACACACACACATATATATATATATATATATATATATATATATATATATATATATATATATATATATATATATATATATATATATATATAGTCTGTGGAACATTCAGTTGAGGCATGCGTACTGGATTAAAATGTAAAATGAAATATTTTCATCAAAATGTTAATTTTCATTAAAATGTAATACTAAATTCTACTGTTAAAATGTTACGTATTTTTAATGAAATAAAAAACATAGAAAAACATATCACACTTATTTTATCATTTTATTCTCATATAACTGAATGCCAATAGTGTTAAATTAGTGTGACATTAAACTGAAATAACAAGGTGGTGGGGTTTGATTAGAAGAGCGAAACTTGATGATCGGCTGTGTGTGAAAGATATGAAACCAAGTTTGAAATGTTTAATTTCGGAGAGAACGTGGAGCGTAAGGTAAGACCTATGCTCTATATCAAAGTAAGAAATATCGTCCAGAGAAAATGTAACATTTAAATACGCTGTAAAAAATTATATATAAATATATTGGTGTAGTTTCACTTTCGATTCCGGCTAATCAGCATCGGTAGAATTTCAGAGTGACTGTTCAAGTCTGTGAGTAGGGCTGTGCAAGAAGACAAAATGTATATCGTATAAACAAAATAAAAACGTATACGGTTTCATATTATACTTTTATTGTTTATTTCGCAGTGTGTCTAAATACAATATTTGTGGTAAGAATTTTTCATAATTTATATGAGCTCATTATTATATACTGGGATGAAGACAAACATGAATAACAGTATCGGGAAAACGTTGCAATCTTTAAAGTACAATATATTTATTTTTCATTTTATATTGCACCTGTAATCATTAGTTTTTGCAAACTATTATATTTGATTAGTATTATTTTTATATTTCTAATCAAACATTTGCCCTAATGCTCTAAATAAAATGAGAAATATAATCAGATATGAGTGAGCACAATTCTGAGCATATACTTTAAATGTAAAAATAAAGTCCTTTACATGTGGTCAGTACACTCTCAGAAAAAATGGTACAATGTTGTACCAAAAAAGGTACAAACCCTTAACACTGGGGCAGTACCTTTTTATGGAACAGAATTGGACCTTAAGACAAAGAAACAAATTTGTACCATTGCAGTTTGTACCTTTAAGAACATGATTTATACCATGGGAAACTAAAATGTACCTTTATCAAAGATACAAATGTTTTACCAGTTGTTTTGTATTATTGCATTATAGAACTTAATAATTATTGTTTATGAGTTTCTTTAAACACACTTTTAAATGATAATTCATGTTTTAATATGGAAATTATTCATAAATCATCTTGCCTTTCCAGTAATATTTATTTTCATAGATATTGTAACAAAGAAGGAGTTATCCAACACTTATGTACATTCTCAGAAATAAAGGTAGGAGCTGTCACTGGGGCAGTACCTTTTCAAAAGATACATATTAGTACCCAAATGTACCTAAAAAGTACCTCTGAAGTACCATTATGGACCCTTCAGGTACAAATATTTACCGTTTAAAAAAGGTACCGCCCCAGTGACAGCTCCTGTACCTTTATTTCTGAGAGTGTACCTTTTTAAGAGAACAATTATGTACCTTTATTTGAATTGTACCATAAAAGGTACAGAACAGTATTATAAGAGGTCTTTTCTGTTCCATATAAGGTACAACTTTTACAAAGGTACAAAACTGGCCCTTAAGGAACATTATTTGTACCACCGTGTACCTTTTTTTCTGAGAGTATACAAAAAAACTAATAATTGATTGCATTTACAGAAACAGTGGTAAATCATGATATATGTCGTTATCAGATATAGAAGATGACTTTCTAACAGTATCACACAGAACTCAACTCATATATGCTTCTTCTTACTTAGATGTACAGCAGTACACCTATAGGTGGATTTACCTTCGGTGGGTCTGTCAGAGTCAGTCAAGCTCCACTCACTTTATCAGATGAGCAGAAAGATCAGCTCTGTGCATCAATTGGCGATGTGGATCTGACTCTTCTCTATAAAGCTTCAGTTCATGGATATAAAGCTTCTGCCTTTCATCAGAAATGTGACAATCAGGGTCCCACTTTACTAGTAGCCTACAATCGTTCAGGCTACATCTTCGGTGGATACACTAGTGTAGATTATACTCAAAGTGGCCAGGAAATTAGGGATGAGGCAGCGTTTCTGTTTAGCTTTCAAGGCAATACCAGCCTTTTCATCAAGGCTAACAGCGGATGTTATGCACGATATGATGGCGATGAAGGACCCAACTTTGGCAACAAGTTGTACTTCTGCAACAACAACCAACCAGTTGTGTCTAATCGAGGAGCATCCCAAGGTGGACTGTTTGGAAATGTTAGCGCAATGAATGCATTCAATTTTAATTCTTCAACACTATATGGAAACGACTGTGCCCTGACTGAATGTGAGGTGTACAAAGTAAAGCAGAGTAAGTCAATCGTCAGAAAATAGCCATAGACAGTAAATAACCTCCAGTTTCTATAAGTAAACATTTACAAGTGTATCAATAAATTAATTGTTGGCATTACTTCAGCTGAAAGCCCTCTGTCAGACTATCTGAAGCCATGGAGGAATGTTCTGTGGACAGCCGAGTAAGTTTTCCCCTTGCTATATTTATTAACATTGGTAATAAGTTAGTTAAAATGTTATTAAATTAAGTTTTGATCTGTCACAGACAAAAAGCAGAGCTCATGGAAATGATCAGGAATTATAAACCCCTGACATCTTCTGTCAGCCATATTCGAATCCTGATGATTGGTCCTGTTGGTGCTGGAAAATCCAGTTTCTTCAACTCTATAAACTCCATCTTTATGGGTCGCATAACCAGCAAAGCCATGTCAGGATCTGCAGACACCAGTCTGACCACACAGGTACAGATTCAGCAGAGTTTTCCACAGACGACTCCTGAGTCTCTGATACGTTTCTCTTCTTGGTTGACAGTTTCGAACTTACCCAATTAAAGATGGTCGTGAAGGAAAGCCATTGCCGTTTGTGTTGTGTGACACCATGGGCCTCGAGGAGCAATCAGGAGCAGGACTGGACATTGAGGACATCAGCAGCATTCTTCAAGGACAAATACCAGACCGCTATAAAGTAAGAGCACTTACTGAATCTCCAAAATGAATGAAGACTGAAGTGTGAATGCTAAAATATAAATCCTGCTGATTCAGTTCAATCCAGTCACACCATTTCAACCTGATGAGCAAAAGTCCTCCAGATCTGCGTCTCTACAGGAGAAGATCCACTGTGTGGTGTACGTGATCGACGCCACCAAAATCTCCCTCATGTCTGAGAAACTAGAGGAAAAACTGTCTGCCATACGCAGAAAAGTCAACTCACTGGGTTAGTGAACATTTATGCATATCTTGTGACCAATCAAAGGTAAATTGAAGTAATTAATATACATAAGTCAACATACCTCAAACTATTTCAGGCATTGCTCAGATTGTCTTGATGACAAAAGTAGATGAAGCTTGTCCACTAGTGCAGGAAGACCTTCAAAACCTTTATCTCAGTTCCTACATCAAGACGAAGGTGAGACATCATGATCACATGAACTGTTCTTATTTCTGTACAAGCACTTTCCAGAACCTTCACCCTCTCTGGTGAACAAAACTGATCACTATCAGAATTCTGCGAGCCTTAAAAACCAAATATTCATAAACCAAAGCATCAGCTAGTTCGTTTCCAAATCTATCTTTGTAGTCACTGATGCTCCTGCTAAAGCCTGAAGCCTGTGAGCTGGTGTTGTGTGTGTGCAGGTGCAGGAGGTGAGCTCTCGGTTGGGTGTGCCGGTGTCTTGTGTTTTACCGGCGAAGAACTACAGTCAGGAGCTGAAGCTGGAGCTCAACTGTGACGTCCTGCTTCTCACCGCTCTACAGCAGATGCTCAACTTCGCTGATGACTATCTGGATGATGTTGCTCCTATGTAGGAGCAGAAAAATATGTAGAATACCATCACCTTGTCAGTTGCAAAAAATTTAGTTTGTTTACAACAATAATGGTAAGGTATTTGAGTACAAAGTATTAGAGTATTGTGCTATATAACACATTAGGCAGCTTTTACTTGGTTTTAGTGAGTTTGTGATTCAAAATGAGCTTTGAAAACATTTTTTTAGGGTAATGATAAGACAAGTCGACTTTGGAAAGGGGGTCTTGCATTGAAATTGTCAACATATATGCTGTTTGCTAATAGCTATTAAAAAATAAAGTGACTTCTTAATACGGAATGATTTTAAGATCAATTTCTGTGCAAAGCGGACTGGACTTGACAACAAATCAACTCATTATTGATATTTAAAAAATAATTCAGCATGGGTTTAAGAACTTACGATATACTCACACTCTGGAAGCTGCTTCAAATGAGTAAAAAAGTGACCATTGTACCTTGAAACTGTTGAGTTCATTACACAAAAATACATAGTTTCATATTATACAGTCATATTTTTTAAAAACCATACATTTTAAATACCTGCAGCAAAGTGTTAGAGGTGAAAGTGCTGGAATTATCCAATTTGTATGAAATTTGGGTTCTAAAGAAAGCTCATCAGACATATCCCATCCTCTTTTTGATTAATTTCAAACCCTTCCCTTGGGATCTCGGTATAGAATTCCTTTGACATGGACCAACAGATTAAGTTTTTCATTTGATTCTTGTGCAACTGATTTGCAGAATTTTAATGGGAAGAGGTAGCCCCTGTTTTAATACTATTCATGTGTTGTGTGATGTTGGTCTTAAGTGTGTGGTGTGGTATGTATCTTGTAAATCTATTACGCTGCAGAACAAATCGCCCCAATAAACAATTTATACAATACAGGGACAATATACTTAACAGTAACAGTAATTATGCACATAGTTAATTTACTTAAGCATTAAAGGCAGTGGTTCTCAACCACGTTCTTCAGGACCACCAACACTGGATGTTTCGGATGTCTCCTTTGTCTGTCACACCCATTACAGGTCTTTCAGTCTCTGCTAATGAGCTGATGATCTGAATAAGGTGTGTTTATTCAGGCAGGGAAAATGTGCAGAGCTGGTGGTTCTTCAGGAACATGGTTGAGAAACACTGAATTTAGGCAACTAGTTTAGTAATTTCTTCTTTAAAAGAAATATGTTTACTCACTTTAAGTAGTCAACTAACTGCTTTTCATAGTTAGAAAAGGGTCATACAGCAAAGGGCATTTTTTATTAATGAATTCAGAATGTATAAATTAAATATCCTTAATATTTGTCTAAATTTCTTCACTTTCACCAAGTATTGCATAAATGTCTCAATTTAAGGTAATTTCCTTGCTATCTATCTAAAATGTCTATCTCTTCTATCATAAATAATATAATAAAGCTAATAATAACATGTATAATACTGATGCAAATAGTAAATTAATTTAACAAAGTAAATCTGACCTGTAAAAATGGAATAATGATCAGCAAAGAAAAAATATATAGAAATACACAAGCAGACTGACAGCAGAATTTATGTTACTGTTTATTGAAACAACGAAAGGCGTGAATTAAATAAAGCAGACTTGTTGTCAAACATGAGACCAAGAAGCAGATATTTACTGTCAGATAGTTACTAGACAGACGACATCAGCAGGCTGAAACTGGGGAAATGACGAATGAATGAACATTAAACCAGACGCACAGAAGCAATGACTCCTGTCCCGTAGACTGCGATATACACTGTGATATATAAAAACCTGTAACCATCAGTAGAAACCCACAGGACAGCACTATTAGCTAATAATAATATGACATCTCTTTCTTAATTTGTGTAATCAGTTTGGCATCTTTAAATCACAGTTTGAACGAAATAAAAATACAAAATAGGCGACAATAATTATTTTTTTGTAAATAAAGCTTGTTTACAATATGGCAACTTGTTAGTGTGACTAAGAGACATGCAGATTATTTCACTCTGCTTAGTGAAAATACACAGATACAGGTACATTGCTTTAATGGACAGTTCACCCAAAAAGACAAAAAGAAACGCTTTGTTTATTTCCTCACCCTCAGGCCATCTAATAAATATATTTATTTATTCAGATAAACATTATTGTAGAGTTCAAGCAGAATCTGTGGTCCTTGGTGATTTATAAAATATACTTTGAGAGTCCAAAAAGCAACATATACAAGCAAAAAATGAAAAAAAAATGGCTCCTGAAGATTAAATGAATTTAAACAATTGTATCTGTGCAGGAAACGGAACATATTTACAACATTATTACCTTTAATCCACCGCTTCAGCAAGCAAGAATTTCGCCTGTGTGTGATTTTTGACTCTAAAAATGTCAGTAGTCGATAACTTTATGAATTATGAAAATTCATAAACCTCTTAAATGCGCTATTGAAAAAAAAAGTGAGCCACATTATTGATGACTTAAAGGAGAGTGCATTAACAGAAAGCGTTCACTTTTGGATGAACTATCCCTTTAATGAGGACATCCTTACAAAAAGATAGAAACAAAATGTACTTCCTGACTCCGTATGGCTTTTGACTTCATCTGGAGACCTGGTTTGTGTTCCTCCTGAAAAGATGCTTGTGATTTTTACCACCTGTCACCTGTTTAACAACATAAAACGGGCACTATAAGTGATTGGCAGGTCGATATTGTGTGGCCACAACGTCAACGTTTGCTGATCAACACAACAATGGAAAACGGACGGATAGGGAATGCCTGGCTTCTTCAACGCATGGTTCATTTGCTCGTGTGCTTTTTCAGTACTCGACATTTATAAAGAGGACATTCATATTCCAAAAATCGTAAAAAATAATACGCGACGCTTCTCTTTCGGAACTGTACAAGATTAAAATAAAAAAATCGACATTTAGTTATACACATTTATATGACAAACCGCTTACATTTATTGTTTCTAAATAGAAAAACGAAACGATTTGTGTTAGCAGAATGCAGTATTCCCTCCAAAAACAAACAAAAAACTAAATGTAGACCCTTTGTGATGTAATGCTTGCATGCTAGAGTGTTTACAAACAAAGTAAAGAAAATTGTAACTTGATCATTTTCATCATAGTACTGCTACTATCCACAAGGTGGCGTCGCAAGCTCAGGAAATAATAACAGACCATTAAGTGCATGTGGATGAGAGGTTGGTTCATTAGTCCATATGAGGGAATACTGCACTGCTGTTGTTGTGTTTCTAGTAGTGTTCGTTAACGCTCTGAAAGTCACACTCCTCCACCCTTTGGTTAAGCACTTGGCGAGTCCTACGGGCCCTCTTTGGGTGAGGAGGGTGACTGGTTACTGGCTGAGTTCTTGAGGGAGCCCAGCGTTTTACTGAACCATGAGTTTTTGGCAGCTTGGACCTCCGTCATCAATACGCCCCGCTGATGCTCCAGCTCCTGTAGATTAAAAAAGCAAATAGCATTAATAAAACTGTAAACTGGGAACATACACAGTGTACTAACTTTAGGAGATTATGGAAAAAAGACTAATATAAATACTAAATTATGAGGGTAAAAAAAGTGCAGTATGAAAACAAATGTTTGAGATTTGTGTTACATCAAAATGTAATGTAAATAATGTTTTTACAATGTACTGACAATTTTCATGTTGTCTCTTTTCATATTTTTTTTCATAAAGAAGTTCAGGTTTCTTTCAATCTATAGATTTCAGTCCGAATCTTTGTACAAAGTAGTTACCTATTTAGTATTACACCATTCATTTTAATCATATTTTTTTGAATACTGACATAAATCTCCATGATTTATGTCAACATTCTAAAAAAATTATCAAAATTAATGTTGTAATACTGAAAGATGCGGCCATTTTACTTTTTAATTTCTATTTAAATCTTGTAATCTTACAACATTATCTACACTTTTTTTGATGTCTTAGTTTTGATTCTGAATTTTCTCTTAAATATTTTGACTTTGGTGTTAATTTTATAGTTTTTGCAAATTAGTTTACAAACTTTTTCTTTAATCTGATAATTATGTCGTTACTTTTGTCTTAAATTCCATAATGTTACAACTTCATGCAAGTTCTCTATAAAGTCCAAATGAACCGGAAGCTGCAATCATTATTTTCTTTCTGATTGTGAAAGAAAATAACTGTTATTACAGATATACGCCAATGTGACAAATTAACTGAAAAAAAAAACAAAACAGGCACATTTTTAGACTTCAATTAAAGATAAGAAGGGCAAACTACAGTATTATTTTTTCTTAATTGTATGCACAGATGAATTGTTCATCACAAAACTGGCAATGTGAGCTAAAAAAATCATATGCTTGGTTTTGATTTCTTAGGGACTTTAGCCTTTTGATTGTGGTGGAGTATTAAAAAAAGGCAAAGTTGTAACATTCATTCATTCATTTTCTTGTCAGCTTAGTCCCTTTATTAATCCGGGGTCGCCACAGCGGAATGAACCACCAACTTATCCAGCAAGTTTTTACACAGCGGATGCCCTTCCAGTCGCAACCCATCTCTGGAAAACATCCACACAAACACACACAAACACGCACGCACGCACACACGCACACATACACACACCATGGACAATTTAGCCTACCCATTTCCCATGAACCACATGTCTTTGGACTGTGGGGGAAACAGGATCACCCGGAGAAAACCCACGCGAATACAGGGAGAACATGCAAACTCCACACAGAAATGCCAACTAAGCCGAGGCTTGAACCAGCGACCCAGCGACCTTCTTTCTGTGAGGCGACAGCACAACCTACTGCGCCACTGCTTCGCCAAAGTTGTAACATTATGAGAAATTATTCTAAACTATGTTAAAGTTGAATCATCACTTCAGTTCAAGTAAATACACAAATTCATAACTTGACTAAAGTTATAACATTGCGAGATTATTTTGAAAATAAAATAAAAATCCTCAATTAAAGTTATAGAAATAAAACGTTGGTATATTATGCATTTAAAAAACAATGTCAAAGTGACTGAAATTATAATTATTAAAAGGTTACAAATGCTTCTATTCTTGTACTCTAAACATAAGACAAGACACTGCAAGTGAATTGGCTAACAATATTAACCAATAGATTAAACTATACTTCCCCTATTGATCGATTACATTAAAATTGCAAACATTATATGTATTACAAGTATTTATATATGCAAATGAGGCCTTATTTGATTAAATGTGCCGATTTGCATACAATTTGTGTGCAAAAATCTGAACATCGGATAAAGTTGTTTCTTTATTAGAGTCAAATTTTTTTACAGAGGAGGTTTTGTGTCTCTTTTCATCACTTCATAATTCTGAAAATACTGCAGACAGTGCAACAAGCAAAAAACAAAATAAATAAAAATCTAACTAATTAATAAAAACAATTGTTTATAGAATAAAATGTCATTCAGCCAAATTATGTTTGAACAAATACCTCTGTATAACCCTTCAAAATACAGATATGAATAAAATTGTGTTGATTGGTGTATTTAAATCTGTGAGAGATTTAAAGTGGAGGTTTCTGACTCGAAAACTCATTTAAAAAAAAAAAATCTTTAAATGTTATACTTTTATTAGAAAGAAAAAGAAGGAGAAGAAGAAGAAAAATAAAAAGCCCCAAATCTCAAAACTGACAGGGACTTGAAATAAATGTGTTTTTTTCCTGCAGTGTCAGAAAAGATGCCTGAACGATTATATAAGTCTAAAACTCTATCATGTGTAAGTGAATGCATGTGCGAGTGTGATGTCTGACCTGGATCTTGCACTTGGCCTCCACAAGCTGCAGTTTGGTTTGCGCCAGCTCCAGTTCCAGCTCTCGGAGTTGGGCTTTGAGCGAGTCTTTCTCCTCGTCCAGGTCTGTGTCCCGGTTGTCCTGACTGACCGGCGGGATCTGCAGTGGTCCATCTTTACTAAACACTTCCCTGCAGCGCTCACATGCCATCACTTTAGCCTGGAAGAAAAAACCCATGCCGGTGGTTACACGTTAAGCAGATGTGAGTAAGACCATAAGATAATGTAAGATCATTCATTTACTCGCCTTCACAATGTCCAGTTCCTCTTTTGTGGAAGCCTGCTGTTTCTCTAGCCGCGTGCTCAACTGGGAACATATCTGAGGCAAACAGTTTGAGAGATTTATCATTTGATGTCAAGCACAATACATAATCAAAGTTTATATAATACAAAATTGACATTATGACTATCATTTGACAATAAATATTCTAAAAAAAAGTACAAAACACTAACAAAATGCTGGATTCCACACAATCGATTTGTATTGGGACAGCATGAATGAATTAAATTAACTTAGTTTTTACAAATTTAAGTGAACTGAACATAAAACATTTGAGGTTGTCTAAAAAACCCCCCACTAGATTTGTGTTCTTTCAGCTCAGTTTAGACAAGTAGTTACAGACAGCAAACATATTTTTTTTAATTTATAGCATAATAATTAATGTTATCAATAAATGTAACATTACACAATTTAAATTAAATCTGCATTACATCAAATTACAGTTTACAATCAATAAAAATACCCTAATAGGATTTTTTTAAACAAATGTAGCACAAGGCAATAAATATAATATCATATAATAAAAAATTAAATTATATAATATAATATAAAATTATATAATAAAGTGTCAAATAATAAAATATAAAATAATATAATAGAAAATATAGTAACATAATATAATATAAAATAATATAATATTAAAAATAATATAATGTAACATAATATAATAAAAAATAAATAATATAATATAAAATAATATAACCTAATATAAAATAAAATAATATAAAATAATGTAACATAAAAAATAATATAAAATAATAAAAAATATAATATTAAATTAAAAGTAATATTATATAATATAGCTAAAGTGTAGAAAAATAAAAAGTTGCAATATTATTGTACTAATACTTAAAAAATAAAATCTTTTGTATTTAATATATTCAAAAATATTTTTTTTTAGAAATCTATTAAAACATACACTAAACAATTTCCCCAATTTATTATTATTATCTTTTACAAACAATCAAAAATGTACACATTGAATTAAACAAGACATTATAAAGCAGAAAAACAAACAGCTGTAAAGATAACCTAGACTACAATAATTACCTTACACTCAACTGTGAGCAATATTGAATTCTTTTTATTTTTTTAACACTCAGGCCTACCTGTTTATATTCAGCTATGATGGCTGTGGTCTTCTTGATCTCCTGCTCTGCTTTCTCCAGCTCCCTTCTGAACACTTCCTTCAACTGTTCAAACAAACCAACAAAACATTCAGGTTAAGATAGGTTTGAAGTTCGCGTGAACCACAAGTTGCTGCAGCATTTCATTCCAGTATGATGACGTTTTTCAAAACTGAAATGGAATACTGAATAGGGGCAGGGTTTTATATTTGGGTGTCATCTTTCACTCTCAGCAAACTAGCGGTTAGAGGGGTATGGCTAAGCAAATTTCACACAAGTCGTCAAACTAACATCATCAGAGAAGAACTGCAGCCATTTTTAAATACACAGCTGAGACATTATACGGCAATAATATATACATATAACAACAAGCCATGGTCGACACGAGCATTAACAATCCTTGTCGTTGTCTCTATGAACAGCCACAAAGCCAAAACAAACAAAAATCTGCCGTGTCCTGTTGTTGTTTTACGAGGCAGTTATGAGTGTTTTCACTTTCTCCAGTGAGCTTGTGCACTCGCCGCGTGTCTATATTTGAAATAACGAACTTCTTAAACTGATGATAATAACGTGCACATAATTATTGAAGTACTTCTGACATCCAATCCTGTCAGAAACTGACAAGCATGAGAGTGAAGCATGAACAAATATTATTCTGGAGCTTCTTCTTCTTAATTGATGTGAACGACCCTTACAGCTTTACTTTGACATTTCCTCGAGGGAGAATGACACTTTCCATTGGTACTCTTTTTCGCAGTGGAAACGCAAGTTTGATAAAGGTGATCCGTTCACATTTTTTTGGAACCACGTTTACTCTGTTAGGTTGTTTAATTTGGGCATATGTAAAACCCGCAAACGCACTTGGATCTGCTGAAACAAACCTTAGAGCTGTTTAGTTGAAGTGAGAAAGCAATAGGATCCAACGAACTAACTAATTAGGCTATATCACAGTACATTATGGTTATGAAATAGGCATATATATGGCTATAAGAAGAGAGAATGATGAGTAGAGATTTCATACCTACTGGTAAAAATGCATTTTATTTGGAATACGAAAGTGAAAGCATGCTGTCTAACTTAACTATTCAAAAATATTTATAATATCATTAACTTTTTGGTCGACTTTTTGACAATTGAAATGAGGCTATGTATGAGAAATTCTTACCTCTTATATATATATTTGATGATGCACCTTTTTGCTTATGGCTCATTTCTCATCGTCATAAACTAAAACAACAATGTATGACAGCTGAGAGGATAACCGGAAAATAAACCAAACTCTGATCAATGTGAGAAGAGTTTACCAACACGTGACTTGTTTGAACTATTTTGGTTCGTTTAGAAGTTTTTTAGTGTGAAAGCAAACCGCACCAAGAATGAACAAAAAGCAACATTGTAACAATTTTAATCCCTGATTCGGAAAAAAATAGTAATCTATAGATGTAGGCACCATTGTACAGCCTAAACCATGATACGTGACCATTCACACTCACTGAGCATGCACATATTTTGTCCCCATTTAAATTTGATGCCTGCCAGTTGTGTAGTAGTCATATGAGAGGGGACTGAACAATCAGGGAACGATACATTATAGTCCATTAGACCAATCAGAGCATGACTGAAGATAGCCACACGCCTCCATTTATAAAAATTTGAGTTTTAGTCCATATACATCGAAACGAAACACTAGCACCAAACTTAAACAGGGTCTTCAGCATGTTTCAAAAACACAATTGTTGTGAGATGAAGATGTCGGAGTAGTGTAAAAGCAAGGCGTAACCGTAACAAAAATTGTTTTTAAAATGAAAACACACTAACGTAAACATCACATTTGAGAACTCATACCTGTGCCGTCTCCTCTTCCTGTCTCCTCTTCTCCTCCTCAGTCTCCACCAGACGCTGTTTAGTGTTCAGCAGCTCTTTATTTAGCACATCAGCTTTATCCTCGGCCTGAAAACAACACAACACTCATTAAAGGGACAGTTCACCCCAAAATGAAAATTCTGTCACCATTAACTCATCCTTCTGAGTTTCTTTCTCCTGTTGAACACAAAAGGAGATATTTAGAATCATGTTGGAAACCAGTATCCATTGACTTCCATAGTATTTTTTTTGCTACTATTGATAGTTAATGTCTAGAGGTTTCCAACATTCATCAAATATCTTCCTTTCTGTTCAACAGAAGAAAGAAACTTAGAACAGGGTTGAAACCACCCAGTAAAAGTTAAGTAAATCAAGTATAGTGTTTGGATGAACTAGTGTATAAATACCTGGTCGAGGTCATTTCTGAGCGCTATCTTGCTGGTGACCAGCTCATGAGCCAGATCATCGTTCTCCTGCTCCAGACGCATGCTAGCCTCCTGCAGACGCCGGTTTTCTCTCTGTAAAGACACAGACAAAGCTCATTTAATACTTCATGATGATTTACAGACAGAGAGGACTGCAAAGCTGGCTGTGCATTAGCTACACACTCAGATTTTCTAAAAGCTGAAGCGCAATAAGCAAGTACACGATTGCGTAAAGGGAACAGTTTTGCAATACATGAATGCAACATATTAAATGACTAATATGCAACTGAAAGTATAAATATACAGTGTTGCTTAAAGCAACAAAGACATTTTTTAACAGTATTTACTATTTTATATATATTTTTTCATCTAGAGAGTCTTTTTTTTTCTTTTAGTTTGGCTGGAATAAATATCATTTTTAATGTAACTTTTAAGGTGAATATTATTAGGTACTTAAAGGTGCTGTATGCAAGTTTTTACCTCTTATAAAGCATAAAAATAGCATAATGTTTGCAGATATTTAAGAAACATGCCAAGTTAACATACTTGTTTATCTGAAAAACAATGCTGAAGTCAGCAATTTTGCTTTGAACATGTGTTTTCCATGCTGGAACGCTGTCTTTGTTTTGGTTCTTTTAACCTGTCCAATGCCAGTTTAGCCAATTATATTTCAACACCCCTGGTTGCCTCAATGGAAAACCATGTATTTCATTCATTCATTCATTCATTCATTCATTTAGAAAGGCTCTGAAAGTATGTGCCTGTGACCAAAATGCAACCTCTGGTGGACAGTATCAGACTCCGAAATGAGACAGATTCAGTTGCACATGAGGTTATTAATTAGCAAATTATATACATTGTACATTGTAACAGCATGTCCTAACAACACAATTCGTGAGGAGATATGCAGTGATAAGCAATTTGGTTGTTTGCACCAGATGAAAAACGACAGAAATTGAAATACAGTACAGCCATTCAGAAGCACAGAATATGCACTCACTCATGAAATGTTAAGGTTTTTAATCTATATAATACGTTAACCCTTTTTACCATTATTGAATGTACATGCTGAATCACATGTTTAGTTCTAAAGTTCTAGTTTCAAACCGTTTATTTTCCTTTAAGATCTGAGGTGAACTATCTGCTTCTGCTTTCAGTAGTATGGCAATAAATGTCATGTATAAGGGCATTCAAACTCCCATTGTTAGCATTTAACACTGAATAAAGCACATGAGGTGTACCAGAGGTGATCACTGTCATAGTTTTCTGTTGATCACCAGTGAGAAATAGAAGCCGTTTCTAATATATCAATTCGAGGTGTTGGCTATCGGGTGTCATTGCTTTTACTCAAAATACGGTTTAAATCACTCGCTCCTGTCCTCAATCTGGCAACCTGCATTTCCTTTTTTTTTTTTTTGATCCAGGAGTCCAACACCCAGTTCAAGCACTCGGTGCTTACATAACTTACATACTGCACCTTTGAGAAACTTAACTAGTACAATATTTTGTACTGTCATGATTAGCTATAAATTAGCTACTAAAACTATTATAAATGTGTTAAAAAACTCTTCTCTGTTAAACAGCACAAATATAAACAAAAAAATATTAAATTGAAGGGTAATTATTCTACCTTCATATGAAAATATGATGTTTCTATTATGTAAATCAACAAACAAACAAACAAAAAAAAAAGTCAAAACAAGGCTATTAATGACTAAATATACACAAAAACGCAAGAGGAAATAAGTAAAATACAAATATCAGACAAATAAACACAAAAATGTAAATTTTTACATTAGATAATATCAAACTGACTGTTTATTATTATTTTATATTGTAATGTTTAATTATAAATTATTAAAACATTAAAACAAATGCCTAATAAATCAGCAAAGAAGTGCACTCAAAAAGTTTAGTTTGTTCCAACTACTTATTTAAAATGGGCTAAAACAACACAATTCTTATGTTTTTTTTTTACAACTGTATTGAACTTAGAAGACACACTGTAGTCTGGATTTTAGTTACTGTTATTTTGATAGAAACAAAAAAGCTGAAGAATTTTTTTTAATGTGTACAGAAAAAAGAGATTAGTTTACTCTTCCTTAAAAAAAAGTGAATACAATTTGCATAATAATAAATATTACGTCAGCTTAACAGTTCCAATTTACAATGGGTTTACTTACACTATTTTTGTAAAGCCAACTTTTTTTCTTAAGGCAATTGGTTTACTCGCTTTAAGTAACTAATCACGTTTTTCAGTGCACAAAGTAAAGCACATAGACTACAAAAAAACATAAACACCCTATACTTGCATGTAAAGCCACTTAGACGACACACTAATCTAGGTTCAGTTTTCGCAACAAATCTTGAAAATAAACAGTATGATAAGAAAAGTCAACTTTTAATAGATTATCATTAACCATAACAGAGAATTTTGAGTGTATTGTGATATCAGCTTCAAAAAAAAAAGAAAAAAAAAGAAAAAAAGATCAAGTTTACAACATTTTATAAATACTACTTTTCTATAATTCTAAAAAATATTCTAACAATTAAAAGTCATCAATAGCAATAAATAATAAAAATAAAATACATAATTAATAATAATAATAATAATAATATAAAAATCTAAAAAGGTTTAAGGTTTTTACAATTATTTATATATATATATATATATATATATATATATATATATATATATATATATATATATATATATATATATATATATATACATATATATACATGCACTGTTGTGAATGTAAACAATATTGTATAATTGTAAAAGGCTGTATTTCAGTGTGTAAAAAAACAACAAAATAACGTAAAACACTGAGGCAAAAAAAACGAAGAGTAAAACGAGCACACTGTGACTTCTGATTAGAGATCTGGCCGTTGTCACAGGGAGTCTCCAAAACTGCCTCACATGACACACATTTCCTTATCAGGACGGGGGTAAAGCTGTCATATGACTTCCATTTACAAACACACACACACACACACATTTAACACTGGTTAGTTTGTGCACATGAGCCGATTAATTGGAATAGATCAGAGACACAAACACAAACGCAGGCAGATGTTGTTAGTAAGCGATGAGCGCTGGTGGGCTGAAGGCTTACCTGACCCGTCGACCACCACAGAAAACACCCACACCCACCAGAACAACAGCACCCGTCCAGGTTCCGCCCCCCCACCGCAGCTCATTGGTTAAATGGGTGAGTGAGGGGGACTCTCATTGGTTAGATTGTGTGAGTGAGTGAGGGAGGGGAAATAGAGGGTAAACAGGAAGTGACCGCAAGGAAACCACCAAGTAATGGAGCTTCCTTTGAAAGTAGGCTTGGCTTTTGGAGATGGTTGTGAAAATACACTTTCTTTTCAGTAAGATGGAGAGATGTTGAAAGATTGCAGAGTGATTAGGACAGAGCTTCTCAATCTTTCAAACCTCAAGGCCTGACAACATCCATAATAGTTTTGCAGTTCTGATCATGTCATGAAATTATGTTTGTAGCTCACAATTTAAGCTTATTTACAGCACTTCTTACCTATATAACACACTTTTGAGTTTATTCACCACAATTCTGTCTTCATTTCCAGCAATTTTGGCTTCATTTGTTGCAGTTCTGAGATTATAGCCCACAATTTGACTATTTGTAGCAAATCTGAGTTTATTTCTTGCAATTCTCACTATTACTTTACATTTTGACTTCACACTACTAAATTCTGATTTTATTTCTTTAAAAACCTAAAGAAAGTTAATGGCTTACAATTTTGAGTATTTGTAGCTATTCTTGGAACATATCATAGCAATTTTGACATTATTTCTATCAAGTTTGACTTCTTATGTCACAATTCGGAGTTCATACCTGCCAATTTTAATGTTATGTCTATCAATTCTGACATTATACATGACAATTCAGAGTTTATACCTGCCAATTTTGATGTTATGTCTATCAATTCTGACATTATACATGACAATTCAGAGTTTATACCTGCCAATTTTGATGTTATGTCTATCAATTCTGACATTATACATGACAATTCAGAGTTTATACCTGCCAATTTTGTACATTATTTCTATCAATTCTGACATTATACATGACAGTTCAGAGTTTATACCTGCCAATTTTGACGTTATGTCTATCAATTCTGACATTATACATGACAATTCAGAGTTTATACCTGCCAATTTTGATGTTATGTCTATCAATTCTGACATTATACATGACAATTCAGAGTTTATACCTGCCAATTTTGTACATTATTTCTATCAATTCTGACTTTATACATCACAATTCAGAGTTTATACCTGCCAATTTTGTACATTATTTCTATCAATTCTGACTTTATACATGACAATTCAGAGTTTATACCTGCCAATTTTGATGTTATGTCTATCAATTCTGACTTTATACATGACAATTCAGAGTTTATACCTGCCAATTTTTACTATTTCTATCAATTCTGACTTTATACATGACAATTCAGAGTTTATACCTGCTAATTTTTACTTTATTTCTGTCAATTCTGATATTTTACGTCACAATTCTGAGTTCATAGCTCGCAATTCTAATTTTCTTCCTGCAAATCTAAATTCATACCTTACAAATTTGACTTTCTCCCAATTTTGAGTTTATTACTCGCAAACCTTTAAAGAAACGTCAGAATTGTGAGATATTAATTTGCAATTGCAAGAAGTAGCTTAAACAATGAATAAACTTTCACCGACACTGTAAAACCCAACAGTCAACTTTAATCAAACGAAATGAGTGTAGTTCACTCTAAATTAATTGAAAGTTAAGTCTACTCATTTGAAAATAATTCAGAGTTGAAGGTAATGGGTTAATTAAATACCTCATTACTTCAACTTAAATGGAGTAAGTTCACAGTACTCATATGGATTAGTTTTTTTTTTAACTCAAATGGTTTGTTGCAATCGGTTTCCTCAAACAGTTTGAGTTGCCTTAACTTATTGAGTTTTACAGTACTCAGTTGGTTTGAGTTCCCTCCATTTATTGGGTTTTACTGTGCTCAAATTGGTTCATTTACTCAAATGGATCAAGTTCAAATGATTAGTTTTTAAAATTAAATGGTTTGTTGCAATCGGTTCCTCAAACGGTTTGAGTTACATTAACTTTTTGGGTTTACAGTGTACCATAACTAGAAACATTTATTATTGATAACAAAATGAAAAAAGTCCTGTTTTTAAAACTTTGTGATCTTTCTCCAGTGTACTTTTTCCTCAAATACGATGTAACATAACTGCAGTTCCTCAAAGAAAAAAAAGCAGCTAAAGAGAACATATTAGTTTATTTTAAATCTCTTTAAGTCAGCTTGAGGCCCCTTGGAGATTTGCTGAGACCCCCTGGTTGAGAACTCCTAGTTTATGATTAAACATTTGATTGTTTTCATACGAAGAATACAAACCTACATATTTATATATAGACTGTAACACATTCAATAAATTGGATTCATTTAAATAAAAAAGACCTGATTATTAAACAACTCAATTAATGTAAACATAACACTCAGATGTATTAAGAAAAATACTGAATATTTAATTTATGACAAAAATATATAAAATGCACTTAAATAAAAAGTCACTCTTCCACTATATAAAAAGGCTCAAATACAAAAAATTGTGAAATACAAATAAATAAAAAAAATTGGAACAAAAACAGCAGAGAAGAATGTCATCACTCAAGAAAGGTTTAGGGAGCACATGGCTCTTTTTCTGAGAAAGTCTGTGGTTTCCAGAGCAGCGAGCTACAGAGTCCTGAACTGAGATGAAGATGATCGTAGGAGGTGAAGATGAAGACTGGAGGAGGTGAGGGTTAAATCAGGCTTCTGCTTACCTGATATCTGTCTATAGGGTCTTCCTGCTGCAGCTGACTCTCTCTCAGGGACTGATACTCCTTCTCAAACTTCTTTAGCTTCTTTGTTGGCACCTACAAAGACAAATAAGCTGAGATTAGTTAAGATATCAAAAAAAAAAAAAAAAAAAAAAAAAAAAAAAAAAAACCACAAACAACTTAAGCTTGAAACCAAAAGCAAGAAAGCACATAAACACATTCCTATATCCTGGTGGGGACTCTCATAGATATAATGAGCGAAAATGCTACTATACTAACAGTATATTCTATCCCTCTACTACTAAAGGAAATAATTAGCATTTTTACATTTCCTAAACACTTTAATCCCTCTGATTTATAAGCATGTTTACTAAAATTAGTAGTGGGCAAAGCGAGACTTCACGAAACACCAAAATAGTCAAAGTAAAGGTGTCGAAGCTTTTGAAACCCATCTCTACAGTGACACCTAGTGGTCATTTTTTTAAAAAGTATTGCTCTGGAACAGCTTCAGCAAATAATCAGTTAAATAAAATGAGATGTAAACTCTCAGTTGTAGAGCTGTGGTTTTAAGTGATTTAGTGAAGCGGTGAGCTCCTGACTAGCATAATGGGTTCAAATCCAGGGTGATGTAGCTATAGATGATACAATATATCTTCTTTTGGTTATAAAAAGTAACATTAATAAAATACATCTAGTCATAATTACAGAATCTCACAATCCACTAGGCTACATGAGGTTTATTCCGCCCCTATCAGTCAAATGCAGATTCGCCAGGTCTCAAAACGCTTCTGAAATGTCTGATGTTTTCAATCGCTTTAGTCACATGACCTGGTGTTTCAAAACACTTTAGTCACATGACCTGATGTTTCAAAGCACTTTAGTCACATGACCTGATGTTTCAAAACACTTTCGTCATGTGACCTGGGTGTTTAAAACACTTTTGTCACATGACCTGATGTTTCAAAACACTTTAGTCATGTGACCTGGGTGTGTAAAACACTTTAGTCACATGAACTGGTGTTTCGAAACCCTTTAGTCATGTGACCTGGGTGTTTGAAACACTTTAGTCACGTGCCCTTGGTGTTTTAAATTACTTAAGCCACGTGACCCAGGTATTTCGGATCATGCTTCGGTATGGTGTTTCGAAACACACTTGCGCTTCGGGATCTCAACACTGTGTCAAAACATGTTTCACGTCAGCCATCCCTATCCAAAATTGACGTTCCCACACTGACACAAGTCCCCATAAGTCTGTGTGTATTCAGATTTAAGTACCCACCGGGGTATAAGAACAAGTAGACATGAAAAACAAATAAAGTATAACTATAATTTAGTTATTGTTTATACGTATATATTTTTTATTTGTATTTTTCTGTAAACTACTGATGGCATTTCTTCTGAATTTCAAGTAAAAACGTCATTTAAAGTATTTTGTTTCTTGCGTAAAATAAACATGAGTCATGTTTTTATTACTATGCTTTGGCTCTAATGTCAAGATACTAAAAACATTGTGCAGCATTCACATAACCATTCTCATTTAAAAAATAATGCAGAACCTCATAAAGCTCTTCCTACACTTCCTAAACTAAAACAAAAAAGTTCAAGCCAAAACCATCTCAGCAGCTTTTAAAAGCACAGTGCTCTTTTATGTCGCTATAGCAACACAGTCAGAGTTCGCATGGAGTCTCTGAGGGTGGCGCGCTCAGTGAAGTCAGTCCTGAGGGGATCTTCTTCTTCTTCATCCGGGTTTACTCACCGCTTCACTGCAGGAGACTTTGTTTATTACAGTCAACATTCAGCAGGCCTGGGATCAGTTTTTCAAATTTGATCCTTTGTCTAAGTCTGAAGTGGCTCAGATAAGAACCAGAGATGTTTACTGCGACCACAACAGTGTTTTGAAGCCAAACTAACAGTCGTTTGGGGTTTCCACATAAACATGCTTGTAAAACCGTTACAGCTGAATATCCGCATTTCAAGTCTCCCAAGGTCTGTTCCCACTTCATTCAGGTCTTAAAAACATAAAAGGAGCTTTCTTCTACCTTTATCTGTGACTGCACCAGTACTTCTGAACAGCAGCTTATTGTTGACCGTCAGCCATACAGTGTGTTTGACCTCTGACCTCAGGACGAGGGTCAATGGAGCGAGAAACTGTTGAACTACTTGTTATCACCCAAGCCAAAACTGCACTCAAGACTTGATGATGACAAAGCGAAAGCTTGCACATGGCTAAGTGGACTTCTCCTTCAGAGAGGTTTGAAAAAGCCACTTTTGCAGCACAAAGTGTCCGTTGTGCTGTTCGGTGGAATGTGAACACGATACAAACTTTTCAGAACGGTGAACAAGGAGGAGAAGAAAACAACTGATTCATAATATCAGGACAGGAAATGGACAGACAGGGAGACGAGGGAACAAAGTTGCTAGGTGGTTGGTTGTTAAGAGGTTCTTTTAGGTTTTTAGGAATGTCTATACACTGTAAATCCCAACAGTCAACTTTATCAAATGCAATGAGTGTAGGTAACTCAAAATTGACTAAAGTTAATTCTACTCATTTGAAAAGAGTTTTGAATTCAGTGTTGAAGGTAATGGGTTAATTAAATACCTCATTACTTCAACTTAAATGGAGTAAGTTCACAGTTCTCAAATAGATTAGTTTTTTTTTAAAACTCAAATGGTTTGTAGCAATCGGTTTACTTAAATGGTTTGAGTTACATTAGCTTTTAGAGTTTTACAGTGTATCAGAGATGACCAAAGTTGGCCCATGTAACCTTTCATTTGGCCCTCCATCCCATCTGAGAAGAAATAAAATGAAGGTTGCAGCAAATACCTTCAACCGAGATGTAACCTTTTGTTTGTTTGTTTGTTTAATTTTTGAGCTACAAAAAACATAAACTGAAATGTTTCAATTAAATGTCGTAAATCAGAGTTTTTAAAAAGGTAAATACAGTCACTCAAAGATAGAGGACAATACACAAGACATCAACGAGCAAATCAAGGCAAAGGCAGGTTTAGCCTGACTCATGTATTTAGCATTAAACACCATTGTGTATGAATGTTTGTTTTTATTGTAAGAAGTTCATTATAAAAAAAAAAAAAAAATTATTCATATGATTGAAGATTTTTCTATTTATTTTTCAATATTAATACATTATTATAGCAGATTTAGTGTAATTTACATTCGGCCCACCCCCTCAATCAAGTTTGATTTTTGACTAGGCATGGACCGGTGTGAGATTCTGACGGTATGATTACCTTCGATAAAAAAATCACGGTTTCACAGTTTTATGATATTGTGGTTACTGCTCTAAAATATAATTCTTTAAAATGTCTGGTTAAAAAACAAAAACTTTTTCCCCTCTCTGAACACAATATGTTTTATTTTGAGAAACTTATTTTGGAAAACTAAACATGTTAGGCTAAATAATTCAAATGAATCATTGAATTCTGCTGTCTTCATTAGTTTCAAAAACACAATTTAAAACGGCATCTTTGGATATATTTTCTGCTGGAGATACTGTTGTTTTAAAAAACCTAAAACGTTAAATGTAAAAAAATAAAATAAAATCTAACATATACTGTAGGAATGGTATAGCAAAAAATTTTGGCGGTTTTAAAACCTTGACTTTTTCAAACAACGTTATACCTTTAAATGGTTTTTGTCCCATGCCTATTTTTGACCCTTCAAAAGATAAAGTTTGGGCATCCCTGATCTACATTATACGGTTGTTACGCAGTCGCTATGGTGTTCTGGGTGTTTGCTAGACAATCGCTGTTATGGTCTTAGTGGTTGCTCAGCAGATTTTTATCATTTTTCAGGTCTCTGTGGTTGATAGGCAGTTGCCATGCTGTTCTGCGTGGTTGCTAGGCAGTTGTTTGGTGTTCTGGGTCATTGCTCAGGAGATCTGAGTTGTTTTAGAGTAATTTTTATGGCAGTAACCATTGGGTGACAGTATATATGTTTTAAACAAATCTGACACTATTTAAATTGAAACGTTTAATTTTAATTAGCCTCTTTTTTAGTTTAACAATTAAACAAAACAAATTAAAGGTCACATTAAATTAGAAATGGCAGTCTCAAAACTATCCCCATCATTCTCCCTCTCTTTTCAGATGGTATGGCGGGTCACATCAAAAGATTACCATGAGCCAACTTTGGCCCGTGAGCCCTAGTTTGGGCATCTCTGTTTTATAGGGTCAGTATTTCTGCTAGTTGCTGCATCCCAATGTACACACTATCCATCCTGAACAGTGTTTGAAAACAGAATTAGTATGTCCCAAATCAAAGTATGTTGAAATGAGTATTCGAAAGTTACCTGGGTAGTCTACTATTTTCACTAAAAATTTAAAGTGCAGATTTATTCGTATTTTAACCTTACGTATATTGATTGGCTAATATTGCCCACAATACATTGCAGGTTGTAATTTATTTAGAACTACAAACACGAGTAAAAAGTGTTAAACATGGCAGATGCACGAGACAAACAGTTAAAGGGATGGTTCACTCTAAAATTTAAATTCTGTCATTATTTACTCCCCCTTTACTTACTCAACCTTTATGAGTTTCTTTCCTCTGTTGAACACAAAAGATATTTTGAAGAATGATGAAAACATGCAACTACACATTAAAAAAAAGTTGATTCAACTTAAAATTAAGGCAACAAACTTCAGGGCATTTTTGAGTTTACTCAACTTAAACAGTGAAATTCAGTAATTTGGCTGAAAGCTGAGTCAACTTAAAAACGTCCTGAAGTTTGTTGCCTTAAAATATTAAGTTGAGTTAACTTTTTCCTTTTCTTAATTTTTTTTACAGTGTACTGACAAAAGTAGCTGTTTTTGCTACTATGGAAATCAGTAGTTTTCAGGTTTTCATCATTCATTCATTTCAAATATCTTTTGTGTTTAACAGAAGGAAGAATCACATAAAGGTTTAACATAACTAAAAGATAAGTAAATAGGGACAGAATTAAAACATTTTCTTGTTCATGTGTCATGTTACCACTGTTTACCCGTGTTTGTAGTTTTAACTGAATTAGAATGTGCAATGTATTGTGAGCAATATTAGACAAAAAAAAAAATAAAATTAACCATATCCTGTTGTT